CCTGTCCCATGCCGGGTCTAGAGTACTGTCGTGAGCAAACACATTCCCTGCCCTGAAAGAACTTAGAGTTGAGATGGGGAGGCAGACTATTAGTCAGAAAAATGCAATATGATTGAATATCTTTTAATAAAAAGCTAATTTGTGAGTATTTATTTTATAGCGGGCACTGTGCTAAGCATTTTACATGTATTGTTTCATGTCATTCTCTCAATAACCTATGGTCCCCATTTTACAGAAAAGGAAGAGGTATTTAGGGAACTTCTGTGTTTTGCCCAAGGTCGGTGAAGTCTGAGAATTGCTACCCAAATCCAGGTCAGAGTCCAGGCTCTTAACCACTATTCCTCTTGAACTAACTGCTGCCCCTTCACTGAGCCCTTGCCCTGTGTATCCTCAGGGCCCTCGTGCTTGGGGGCGGGGAGGAGGGGAAGATGAGCTCCAGTGTTGGAATTCATTCAGAAACCAATAATAATTTAACAGCCACACAGCCACTTAACTGATTCAGTGTCTTCCCTCAGAGACCAAAAGAATTCAAGATACTAACATGTAAAACGATATATGTCCAAAGTTGTTCATCACAGCGTTGCTTGTAATAACAAAAGATTAGAAATAACCTAAATGTTTATCAACATGAGATTGATTAAATAAATTATGATATATTCTTACAATGAAATGATGCAGTTATAATGAATGAGGATCCAGCTGGCGTGGCTCAGTGGTTGAGCCATACTGGTTCAACCATGAACCAGGAGGTCACAGTTCCATCCTGGTCAGCGTACATGCCCAGGTTGCAAACTCAATCCCCAGTAGGGGGCGTGCAGGAGGCAGCCGATCAATGATTCTCTCTCATCATTGATGTTTCTATCCCTCTATCCCTCTCCCTTCCTGTCTCTGAAATCAATAAAAACATTAAAAAAAAAAAAAAAAAGAATGAGGAAATGCTGTATGGATGAGGACAATGTAAAAAGTATGGTATTATGTGGAATAAACAAGGTGTAGAAGAGATGCCACTTTGTATAGAATCAATATTATTTGCTGTATGTGGTTAGAGAGGCAAAGAGTATAAAGGGTATCCCCAAAAATGTATACATACACTTTAAGTAAATATAAAGGCATTGTTTATTAAAATACATTTCATTTTCAGATTTCAGCTATCAGCTGTTAAAGTGTGTATGCATTTTTTGGGACACCCTGTTGTATATGTTTTGGGTTGTACATGCATAAAATATCTTTGGAAGAATAGACAGGAAATTGATCCTGTAAGGTGCTTCTGAAGAGTCGCTAGGGGATTCCAGGTAGGGAGATTGTCTACTGTACATACCTTTTTGTCCTTTTTGAATTTGAGTCAGTTGAATTTACTCCCTATTAAAAAAGATATAAATAAAATTAAAAAGAAAGCAACAATAAGCACCTTTCTAGGCACTGAAACAAATACAGAAAAGCCCTCTGGGCTTGTATGTTTCTTTAGTGTGTGGGATAAGCCCGCCTTCATCACATCCAGTGCTAGCGTAGTATACACTTGAGGATTTGTGCAATCGATGAACCAACTTGGAAAAAACTCTCAAATTCCTGTATGTGAAGGACACATCTTTTTTGTGGTGTTCCTGCTAAAAATAGATCTTCTGAATGTGACCATGAAGAAATGGCAGACTGCCTCAAATTGAGACACATTCTAAAAAATAGATAGCCTGTGCATTTCAAAAATGTCAAGGTCGTGGAAAACTACGAAAGACCGGGACCTGTTCCAGACCAGAGGGGACTGGCGGACGTGACAACTACATGCACAGTGTGTGATACGAGAGGTTGTTTCTTTCTCTGAAAAGCACATTAATTAGATAATTGGCAACTTAAAAAAAAAAATATATATATATATTTATTGATTTCAGAAAGGAAGGGAGAGGGAGAGAGAGATACAAACATCAATGATGATGAGAGAGAACCACTGATTGGCTGTCCCCTGCACAGTGCCCACTGGAGATCGAGCCCGCAACCCAGGCATGTGTCCTTGACCGGAATTGAACCTGGGACCCTGCAGTCCGCAGGCCAAGGCTATATCCACTGAGCTAAACCAGCCAGAGCAAGACAGTTGGCAACTTTTGAAGAAGGTCTGTAAATTAGGTAATAGTACTGTTTTACTGGTAATTTCCTGATTTTGATATTAATACTGTGGTTACGTGGGAAAATGTCCTCATTTTTAGGAAATAAGCATGAATTTAGTAGTGAAAGGGCATTGTATCTGCAACTTACTGTCAAATAGTTCAGGTAGAGAGAGATAGAGAGGGGAGAGAGTATTCCGTTGTATATATGTACCACATTTATTTCTTTTAAAAAATATTTTTATTGATTTTTAGAGAGGAAGGGAGAGGGAGATAGACAGGGGGGATATCGACTGGCTCCCTCCTGCAAGCCCCCAACCCGGGCATGTGCCCTGACCCCTTGGTGCATGGGACCACACTCAACCAATTGAGCCACTTGGGTGAGGGCCAGGTGTTTATATTATCATTGACATTTTCTCCTATGTTTCTTAATATTTTTGTCCCTTTTAAAAAACTAGCTTTGCTGTGGTATAATGAACATATTGTACAACTCATCCTGAATATCTTTTCAGATCTGCTTAAATAGTGCTGTTTGTAAGGAGTTTTTAAAAACTAACTTTATTAGGCTACTAGAGGCCCGATGCACAAAATTCATGCAAGGGGCTCGGCCCTCACAGCAAAAGGTCGTCCGGAAGGACGTCCAGAAGGGTGTTCGGCTGTCTAGTCTAATTAGCATATTATGCTATATTATTAAAATATAGATAATTTATACACGATAACATTCACATATTTTAATTAAAGAGGTTTTTTTTTACTTTGGACACATTATTCCCCATGTAACCACCACTGCAGTTCAGATACAAGATGTAGAACCTTTCCATTTCTTCAGAAAGTTCCCTCTGTCCCGTTGTTGATGCGTTCACCCGCTGGTGCACATGGTCCCAGGTGGAGAGCAGAGTGGGGTGCTTGCGGGGTGAGCATAGTGGTGGAGGGCGTGGGGGGGTGAGGATGGTGGCTGGTGTTGAGGTGACGCAGAACAGGCTCCTCATGGCTCCCTGAGGCTCCCCCGCAGCTGGGACTTGGCAGTTCTGTGTTTCTGAGTCAGGCCCAGACGTTGGGCGTTTCTGAATCTTTTCTTTCTTTCTTCTTTGGGCCTTAATGGGTTCGGAGTTTGGAGCATGTGTAGTCTTAGAATGTGCTTCTCAGCTTGTTTCCATGGTGGGAGATAAAGGAACCTGCTAAGTTCTAGCTGGGCTAATAAGCAAATGAAGAGAGACAGATGAACAGGGAAATCAACATTTTAATACCTGTGCACAGGGAATTCACATAAACATGAACATTTCGACGACAGGCAACATTGGGCATGTATGACCTTCTGGACAAAGGAGAGAAAGGGCTTGGGCGGGGTCTTAGGTTTCAGACGTGAGAGCAGGCAGTGTAGCTGTAGTTGAGGAATTGCTGAGCACACAGGGCAGGCACCTCAGAAACAACAGGACACGGGTATCTAGTTCAGAGGCCTCTGCCTGGCGCCCTCCCATTTACCATATTGACTCAAATTAGGTAAGGCGAGCATCCCAAGATTCCTTTCCTGGAGCGGGTCTTTCCATCTCAGCCTCTTAGGCAGGAAGAGAGAGCGTCAAAGGTCCTTCCTGAGTCTTTTGTTTCTTAATAACCAGTTTGAAATCAGTATCCCAAAAGTCAAAACTTTGGTCCCCTTCATCACTAGCAAGGGAGGAAATTACGTTTAGTTCAATGATGTTCTGGGCAGATTTACGTCTTCTGTCTACACAGGCCTCTTCGGTGGGGTAGCTGGAGGCGGTTTATCAGGCACGGCTGCCCCGATGCCCTATTAAACAGCAACCCCACGGGCTTGTAAAATGTCAGCATTCTATCATCATCTAAAGCAGTGGTTCTCAACCTGTGGGTCGCGACCCCTTTGGGGGTTGAACAACCCTTTCACAGGGGTCACCTAAGACCATCGGAAAACACATATATAATTACATATTGTGTTTGTGATTAATCACTATGCTTTAATTATGTTCAATTTGTAGCAATGAAATTGGGGGTCACCACAACATGAGGAACTGTATGAAAGGGTTGCGGCAGTAGGAAGGTTGAGAACCACTGATCTAAAGGGACAATTGATTTCCCTAAAATGCCTGTTTTGGAAAAGAATAAGGTTTCAAGAGGTAGGCTCAGTGCCGGTTGATGTTTGGTAAGGCTTTGTTCACTCATCACTCCTATACTGACCAAATGGGAAACAAAGTTTATATTTGTGCTCGCCCAATGGGGGCCCAGAACATTTAGCCTCCTCTGCCTGCCATTTTTTTCTGGTTTTGTAACTTTTGTTATTCTGCTGTGCATTTCTGAAGGTGGAATGGGAACTCATCGTGCAAGCAGGTGTGGAAGAGGGGGGCTCGGGCTGTGCAGCACTCAGACGTGGGTGTGAACCGTCACTACCTGCATTTAGAACCTCTTTCTCCTAATCGGAACTAAGAGAACTGCCTTAAGTATTTTTAAAAAAAAAATTTTTTTTTTTTATTGATTTTAGAGAGGAAGGGAGAGGGAGAGAGAGATAGAAACATCAATGATCAGAGAGAATCATTGATTAGCTGCCTCCTACACGCCTCACACTGGGGATCAAGCCCACAACTGGGGCATATGCCTTGACTGGGAATCGAACTGTGACCTCCTGGTTCATAGGTGGATGCTCAACCACTGAGCCATACCAGCCGGCCGGGCCACCTTAAATATTTTTGATGAGGGTTACATTATATCATGTGTGCCTAGAACATAGTCAGCATGCTAGACATTGCATTAGTATAAAAATTTTTCTCTACTTCTACCTTTTTGTCCAGGTGTTCTCTTTTACAGAGTTTTATTTTTCTCTCTTTGTGGTTGAAATGATAATTTATTAAAATGTATTCATCTGTTTAAAGCCTTGGTTCCTTTTCTCTCTTTTTGCAGGCACATCGCAGAGGCATCCCTTCGTCCTTCATGAACACCTGCGTGGTAGACAGGTGACTGCCCTTCGCCCCATGCTGCTCTAGGCGCCCCGACGTGAGCTGTCCAGGGAAAGGATGGATTCCAAAGATGAGAGCTCACACGTGTGGCCCGCGGCTGCAGAACACGAAGAGAGCGCCGCACAGGTGAGAGGGGTCTCCAGCGTGGGGACATGTGCTCACAGCCAAATAGCAGCTTCCAAACAGTAGTGAGTAGTCGGGAGGGAGCCGACCTGCAGAACCGGAGGTGAGGGACCCGCAGTGTGTTCCCATGCGATGCAGAGGGACTGAACTTCCAACCCTGTGGCTTCTCTGCTTTCCCCAGCTCACGTCACAGTCTGTCTCACTCCTCCATGTTCTTTTGTTATTGGTGCTGAAAGTGTTTTTTTTTTTTAATTTATTTAATATATTTTTATTGATTTCAGAGAGGAAGGGAGAGGGAGAGACAGACAGAAACATCAATGATGAGAGAGAATCATTGATCGTCTGCCTCCTGCACGCCCCCACACTGGGGATCGAGCCTGCAACCTGGGAATGTGCCCTGACCAGGAATCAACCATGACCTCCTGGTTCATAGGTCGACACTCAATCACTGAGCACGCCGGCTGGGCGAAAGTGCGTTACTTTGATGTTATCTAGTATATGGTTTTGTTTTTTTTGCGAGTAATGAAGTTCAAGGTATGTCTACAAAGTGAGTGGCTTTTCTTTCTTTTCCAATGGGGAGTGTAAACCTCTGGTTGAAAGTTGTCCCGTTGAGTCAGTAGCTCTGGAGGTTAGTCACTTACACCAGTGCCGTGGTGATTGCGATCTCTGCCTTTGAAACCTCTGCCCTGGCAGCCGCCGGCTCTGGGCATGCTCCTTCCGGCAAAGCCAGGCCCTCTGCATGTTTGCTGTGCGCCGGGGAGCCAGCTTTTGTATGTGACCACAGTACAAAACTTAGTTTTTTCAGCATTATAGTAAATATGGAATTTTTATTTAATTTTTCACTGAATGACATGACCACAATAATATCAAAATGAGGATGTTAATTCAAACCTTTAGATGTACGCGTATAATTTAATTTAAACAATATAGTAAATATTACAGCGAATAAAATAGATCATCTGGTATGATTTAAATGTCTGAGTCTGAATACTTAAAAAAACGTTCCGGAGATGCTTCTAGCAGAGCCATCGAGAATGCTGTTTTGTTCTCATGGAAACCATTTTGAAGGTGCTTCAATGCAGCTATATATTACCATGTATTTTCTTTATAAACAGAAATGTAGTGTATTGAAGAACAGAGTAAAAGAAAATGTGGTTACGGCACTGTGTGGCCAGGGTCCCCACACGTGGGTCACCAGACAGCAGAGCTCACCTCCCGCACTGCGTCCTCTCCCCCAACCCTGCCTTCTCCCTGCTGGGGACTCGGGGTTAGCAGGACAGCGAGGGGAGGAGGAAATGTTTTTTGCTTTTTAAAGCACTGAAACCAGGGCAGGGTTTTGATGTAAATGGGCAAATCTAAAGTCACAAAATTATTTTGCAGCACTTAAATGTGCAGCACAAGTATCTTATAAGCCTAATTCTTCCAATATATAAACTGCACCTTCATGGACAAATTAAATTTATGTAGAAGCAGGACTGATCACTGAGTGTGAAAGTGGAAGTTTGCTTTCTTTCTGTGGTGCTGATTGCATTTGCTCTTTAGGTTTCTGGGGATGAAATTAGCTTATGTCATCTTTGGGTCCTATTGTTCTCCATCGGAGAAAAAGAGTTAGGTCCAAAGACAAGACAGTATAGGAGTAAGGATTCCAGCCTATGCTTGGTGTGCGTCATGGACTGTGAGTGATCAACTTTAGTATCAGCACATAAATTATTTCTCTCCCCAAAGTGTGCTTGGCCATCTGCTTCTGTACCTTCAATATCAGACTCAGGCGGCGTGCCAAACTCGAGCCTTCTAGAATTCAAAACCTCTGAAGCTGACTACTCAGAAAACATGTTAGGAAATTCAATTTCTGCTTTAGTTCTTGGTAGATGGAAAATTGTTTACCCTGTTGACAACTGAAAGAGTTGTCCAGAACCCCTTAAAAGTACTCGGTTAGAACTTTCTGTATGTTGATCTAGCGGGCAAGGAATTCTGGTACAGTCCTTGATTCAGCAAAAATTTACTGACGTGCCTCCAGTGCAGCCGTGGAGTGTGAAAGAATTCGGAGGAGAGAGGGTGACCTTATTTTAAAGTGTCTGCTGAAAGGCACGATTAGTTACAAAGTGGAGTTTTTATGATGTGTTAACAGCAATTGGCTTTTGAGTCTTGAATATATTTTTTTAACATTACAGAATAAGTTTTATTTTGGGAATGTTATTGACCTGCAGCCTCCAGCCTTACTTCCAGGATTAGTTAATTCCCCCCATAAGCTCCCGCAAAGAGATATCCGCATTGGATATTTGAGGCACAGGGGAATTTAAATCAGTGGCCTGATAGTGAGCAGTAGATCATGAGTGACGAGTTGGCCTGCCTCCCGGTCACTAACTCCGCAGAGGTGAGAATGTATCAATCCCCCTCTCTCGTGGGGGATATTTTAGGCTCGCAGCTGTGTACTCCGCTTGGTCTGCACGGATCTTTGTGAGACTGGTTTTGTGCTGCAGGGGTAGTTGCTACAGACGTGGCTGCTTTTTGCCCCAGGTACACTTTGTCCCAGACGCCGGAACTGTGGCTCAAATCGTCTACACCGATGACCAGGTTCGGCCGCCCCAGCAGGTGGTGTATACGACAGATGGTGCCTCCTACACGTCAGTGGACGGTCCCGAGCACACGCTGGTGTACATCCATCCCGTGGAAGCTGCGCAGGCACGTGAATGACTATTGTGTATCGTTTGTTTATTAATCCGTTGATTCACTCATGACTGCTGTTTACTCTCTGCCAGTCACCACGGTGGCTGTTGATACAGGAAATGTTCACATAAGATTTATGCTTTCAAGGAGTTTATAACCAGCTTGGCAGAGGAAGATACGATTTATTTATTTAACTTAAATGTAATGAGTTAGAAGAGTGATTTTCAGCCCTTTTCATTGCATGGTACTAATGTAAACTAATTACTAAAATTCGGCACACCAAAAAAAAATATTTTTTGCCAATCTGACCAAAAAATAGGTATATTTTTGATTGATTTACCAAAAAATAACAATAATATAATAATTACCCACCCTTTTTGTTCCAGAGTGACTTTTTAAAAAATCAGGTGCCTATACTTGTATATAAGGATTTCTGGCACAAAGAATTAACCAACCAGACATAACCTTATTATGCAACATATCCAGTAAGATGCAACTCTATTATATGACCTATATATTTATAGTTCAAGACAGGGCACCCACACCAGACAGCTATTGTGGTGTTTTCTGTTGTTATTTTTTAATTTGACAATCTAAGGGAAAAGAGGCCAGTAGCCCTGACTATGTAGTCAGGTATTGCACTTTTTTTTTTTTTTTTTAATTCTTGCGGCACATGGTTGAAAGCCGCTGAGTTAGAGCACTGGGCTTGTATCAGTTCTTCTCCCCAGTGATCCTGGACTAGATCAACATGTTACTTTTCCTAAGTATCAACAAGCAGGCCAAAAATGGCATTTAGTTCTGCATAGCTTAATCAAAGACGGGTCAGGGAAAACATACAGAGTTGTAGTTAAATGTATAAGCAAAGGTCCCACTAGCTTATTCACTGCTATTTATTAGTAATTCATTACCGATTTGCAGGACTGTCAGAGAGCGAAGGTAAAAGCTGTACAATTATAGGTTCTTTTTTTTTTTTTTTTTGCCAGTGACTTGGGGTATTAGTCTCCAAATGTATGACACAAATATTCCCCAATATAACTCTTTGTTTCTCTTGTTAGCACTTTTTTTACACTGGACAAAGCACTTTTAAACATATTAAAAAAATTAGGTTCCATGCTTTTATCGTAGGATCCTGGTAATAAAAATGTGCCCTTATATGTAATATTTAATCAGGAGACTCAAATCATTTCCAAGAAGAAATGGAGCCTACCTAATTGATACCTTTCAAATTGGTATAAACATGAAATTGCCAAACATGGAGATGATAGTTTTGGAATGCCTCTGCTTAGGCATAGTCCCCTAACTGTATTAAAATAAGATCACATAGTTAATGTAAAGACTGTTCTGTGTCCAGCTTTTAGTTTATTACCAAATGTCTGAATTCTTTTTTTTTCTTTATTGATTAAGGCATTACATATGTGTCCTCATCTCCCCATTGCCCCCCCCCCCGCAAGTCTGAATTCTGTTAATTTTTAATGTCAGATTTAAGAATCTGGCACTGGCTGAAACTCTCTTTTACATTCTTTTGCAATCGAAACGTAGCCATAGTTCTTATTCCCATGCGTTCGCTCAAGGCGTGGGCAAATTAAAGTCTTTTAAAGGTTTTAGGGGAAAGAATATTTTTCTGGACTGGAGGTTTTCTGTGGTGCCTGGGCTAAAATAATTTTGAAGATTTTTCTTCTGTAATCAGCTTTGCTGCATCATGACATAAATTATGTGTTTATGAGAACTTCCTTTTAAATTGTGATTTTACTGGCTTTTCTGAAAAAAAAAAATCTATGGAATATTAAATTGAGCTTATTTTTCTTCTGCTCTTCTGATAATGTGTGCATTTTATATTTGAAAGAGTTGCCATGGCTGCATGTGCAGTACTCGTCTATATTTTTGTGTATGTTTATCATTTTCATTTAATTGTAGGTCTACTCCTTGTGGTTCACAGTGTAAGTGTGAGCGAATGCACCCCCGTTCATGGCGTGTCTTTTATGTTTTCATGACAGGCCTTTTAAATTAGCCGTGACATTCAGCCTCAAGAGAGGCTTTGCTGACGAGTAAAATGTTGAAGTATGTTAGCCAGTTGAGATGGTTAGCCTACACAGCCTCTGTGGTGCCATCTGAATGAAAGGCTTTAGCTAAATGTAAGATTGCTATCGTTATCTTCTTTATTAATGAAGGATTATTACTAGCTATATGGGAGTTAACTCTCCCACGAATTGGTGCTTAGCAATAGGATAATTTTTTCTGTGTAGGCGAGCTGTCTAAAGATCTATTGATAAGTTTGTTGTTGTTTTTGTTTTTGTCTAGACTCTGTTTACAGACCCCAGCCAGGTCGCTTATGTCCAACAGGATGCTACAACTCAGCAGGTAATGAGTTCCTTTTTGCCTCTTTGTTGTTGGGGATAATATTACGAATGTTACCATTCCCTGGAATGTTCCCCAACCCTCTGTACTGCGTATTCTCTTGAATGTGTGCTTCTCATATAGGAAAGTAAAGTTGATGGCAGCCTTCATCATTCTAGCTTCTGAAAAACTGAGATTCTTTTTGGTTACCCTTTAAAACATTTCTTTCCTTTCATCCATATTTCTAATATAGCCTTTTTGACTTTGAGGGATTTCCTTGTTCTCCTCCAGATTGTGAAAGTAATAAAGAAGGTACAGGAGCTAGATGTTGTCAGTCTTATTCCAAATAGTTTTATTTTCATGTCAGGTAGTATGATTAACTTAGCCACACCACTGAGTGTCTCGAGTGATTATTAAGTACATTCTCAATTGGTAAGCACTTTCTGCTTTTGAACTTAAAAAAATATATATATTTGTTTTTATTTATTTCAGAGAGAGGAAGGGAAAGGGAGAGAAAGAAACATCAATGATGAGAGAAAATCACCTATCAGATGCCTCCTGCACTCGCCCTACTGGGGATCAAGCCCAAAACCCAGGCATGTGCCCCAACCAGAATTGAACTGTGACCTCCTGGGTTGGGGGCTCGATCCCTAGTGGGGGCCATGCAGGAGGCAGCTGATTGATGATCCTCTCTCATCATTGATGTTTCTATCTCTCTCTCCCTCTCCCTTCCTCTCTGAAATCAATAAAAATATATTTAAAATATTTTTTAATAGGAAAACAAGTATAATAGATTGAAATACATTAAATATGTTTAAAACCCATAAGCTCATACCGATATTAAAAGCAATAACTCACTGGTCACTTTTTGAGGATGCTAAGGGACCACTACATTCATTCTTCAGGAAACTGGTAAATGACCAGAAAGAATACGGCCTTTCTCCCCTGAATGTACTCAGGTAAACAATTACTTGATGAGGGAAATATCTTTTTAGAAGCATTCCAACTAATAAATAAAGAGGGGAGGCCTGGCTTAGAATATCACCATTTTTCATCTTTAATGAAATATGGACCTAGGCAGTGATCATTAACAATAGTCTGAAACCATCAGGAAAAAGCTGACGAGGCACCTTATAACGGATGGATCAACCTGACCCTCTGAACATTGTTAATATCATGAAAAAGAGAGAACCATTCATTATAGGCCTCCTGCTGTTGTGTACCTTCTACTTCATTTCATATGAAGTATTCCTCTCCCCAAATTGAGCCTGAATCTGATTGAGTCTCTGGGTTCTGCTACCAGCTTGTAGGAAGCCTGATAGACAAACTAGAACAAGTTCAGAGACACACAAGGCTGTAGTCAGCAAAGTCCATTCTGTGGGAAATGGTCAGGCAAAAGGCCTACTTTCTTCCACATATAAATTGCAAAGGAAAAGAAGAGGAATGGGGATTTACAGATTAAAGGAGACTTTGGACAAACCAGTTGTAAAAAAAAAAGAAAAAATGAGACCACTGGGGAAATCCTAACATTAAGTGGCTATTTGATGATATTAAGGAATGATTAACTTTTTAGATATGCTAATATATCAAATTAAAAGTTATTTTTCTGTAGGCTTATCTACAGAACTATTTACAGATGAAAATGAACAATGCCCGAGGTTTGCTTCCAAATAATCTAGTGAGGGAGAAAATGCGTGGGAGAGTAGTTGAAATAAGGTTAGCTGTGAGTTGATACTTGAAGCCGAGTGATGGGTGTGTGAGGTGTATTATACTATTCTCTCTATTTGACATATGTTTAAAATTTTTCACTATAAGTGGGAAAGTTATTTTGACAAGATGCCCTAAACAGCTTTTCAGAAGGTGAAAAAATTTACATTCCTACCAACAATATATGAGAATGCCCATTACCACACACCCTTCCGTTCTTTTAATATTTTGCCAATCTGATATGCAAAATGGTATTCTGTTGTTTTACTATTAAGTCATATTTTAATTAGAAATGGTGTTGCCATTTGCACCTCAAAGGGCCCTTCATCTTCTTCAATCTCCAGAAACAATCTGTTTCATGTTCTGTACAAAAGGAAGGCTGGGCTCAGATAGCTCTGTGAACAGTGACATCACAAGGAAGTGTAACCGTGGGCTTAGCATCTTTCTTTATTACAGCTTCCTTTCAACCCTCACGGTTTTTATTCCTGGCTATAACACCTCATTGATTGTCAGCTTATTCTGTGACCTGGATACATTCTGGATAGAGAGTTGGATGAGCATTTAACACAGACGATAAAAGCTTCCCCCTCCCCGCTCCCCCTTAGCAAAAAGGTTCCTATTTTCAGTGGTGGCAAAACCCATTTGAAGCCTTTTTCTTTCTTTTTAAAAAAAAATTTTTTTTTATTGATTTCAGAGAGGAAGGGAGAGAGATAGATAGAAACATCAATGATGAGAATCATTGATTGGCTGCCTCCTGCACGCCCCCTACTGGGGGGGTGGAAATCGAGCCCCCAACCCAGGCATGTGCCCTTGGCCAGAATCGAACCTGGGACCCTTTAGTCCGCAGGCCGACGCTCTATCCACTGAGCCAAACCGGCTAGGGCAGAAGCCTTTTTCACATGTGTCTTCCCTACCTGCTAAGCAAGGCACCCGCGGTCTCCAGACCTGGAAGCACAGTCTCTTCTTTGTTTCTGAAAATGAGTATGTGTGACTCCCCACACGCTGAGGAGGAAATATGCTGCTGATCATGGGTCTCGGGAGGGACCTGAAGCATTCTGTTGCGTTTGCTGCTGTCCAGTGTGGCTTCCTATTTCACTCCTCCCATAAATTGCCTCCTGAAACGCATTACATAGTTTCAGAGGTAATTACAGAGCGAGGCATTAAGTGGGACGGAGAAGGTGCACCAATAAGTTTAACAAATTCTTTTTCCTCCTACCTCCCGTGTTTTATTGTGGGTGACAAAATGCACAGGATTAAAGTACTTTTGTGTTGAATTCTCTTCCTGTGAGTATAATTGCCACTCGACCTTGCCGCCTGGCTATTGTCTCCGGAGCAGGGGTGGGTGCCTTGAGGCTCTGGGGTTCAAGGTGTATGTGAGGCTCACCTCCGCGGTTGCTCCTTAGGGGCCATTGTCATGTAGCGGAAAAAGCAGAATCAGAATCTGAATTTTATCTCTGCCACTTAGGAGCGATGTAGTAATGTTACCTGGCCTCAAAGGAATTTAAAAATATGCCTCGCTCCCAGTAAGTGTCAGTTGAATTTGAATTAGTTTTTGAAAAATATGTTGTTTTTTAAAATTGATTTCAGAGAGAGGAAGGGAGAGGGAGAGAGAGATAGAAACATCAATGATGAGAATCATTGATCAGCTGCCTCCTGCACGGCCCCTGCTGGGGATTGAGCCCACAACCCGGCATGTGCAGAATTGAACAGTGACCTCCTGGTTCCTAGGTCAACACTCAACCACTGGCCAGGCTGGATTTGAATCATTAATTGAACAAATTTATAATGCATGCCTACTGTGTGTTGAGGTCTATGCTTTCTGGAAATAGACAGTGTGTCCCTAGCAATGATTGTCATGGACCCTTCTCATCCCTTTTCAGCAGTAGTTTGCACGATTCTGCTGTGCGTTCAACCTCTGCTTCAACATCAGCCTTTCCAGATAATGCTGAAGTGTTGGGCCTTTTCTTTGCCACAGTCTTTTAGGGGAGCTCAGCGCGGGGGAGGAGAAGGTTGCTGGTACTATTTTAATGTCAGCTTTCTCAGCAGTGGCGAGAAGCCAGCGGTAACCTTGCCCAACCACAGTCTTTCTAGCAGCATCTGCGGGGGAAATACATCTCCGCTCCGCTGGAACGCCTCTGAATTGCTGAATTCATTCTTTGAGGTTGGCTCTGCAGAGATATAAAGAATTTATGAGGAGCAGAGGTGGATATATGCTTTGGTTTGTTCAGTGTGTGATAACATTCATCACTAACACAGGCATAAAATTTAAGTGCTTAGAATAAAGGGCGACATTGAAACTGTGCTCTGAGATAACAAGTGGGGACGCAGCAGCTTTGCTGGAGGATCAGGGGCGGCTGCGAGGGGAGGTGGCAAACGCAGTCCTGCTGCCAGACAGGAGTCCCTGGTCTTTTTCTTGTTCAGGCTTCACTCGGCGGGTATTTCCTTCTGCTTTTATGGAAGCCGAAGCTGAAGCAGCCCCTAGCATGCTGTCCTCCCACGTAAAGCTTCTAGAAGGCCCTGAGCTGCAGAGGTGGGATGCCATGTAGGAGTCGGGGCTCCTGGGTTGCAGGCATGCATGTTAAAACAGGCTCGCACTGTTGGAGGTAACTGATTTTTATCTGCTTTCTGGAGCCTGAGCATTTTATTTTATTTTTTACTTTTTAAAATATTTTTGTTGATTTCAGAGAGGAAGGGAGAAGGAGAGAGAGATCTAAACATCAGTGATGCGACAGGCATACCAATCAGTTGCCTGCTGCACATCCCCTACTGGGCATCAAGCCTGCACCCCGGGCATGTGCCCTCACTGGGAACCGAACCTGGGACCTCTTGGTCCATGGGATGATGCTCAATCCACTGAGCTACACTGGCTGGGCGAGCCTGAGTATTTTAAACGTTGGACAATGATCTTTTAAAAAAATAAATAAATTAATTATTTTTTTCTTTATTGATTAAGGTATTACATATGTGTCCTTATTCCCCCATTGCTCCCCCAACCCCCTCCACTCGTGCCCTCACCCCCCTCCCTAGTGTCTGTGTCCATTGGTTATGCTTATATGTATGTATACAAGACCTTTGGTTGATCTCTCCCCCTCCCCCCCACCCTCCCTTGCCTTCCCTGTGAGGTTTGACTGCCATAGCGTCAGGCTCTGTAAACACTCGCAGAACTTCCTCGTTATAGAGTTTAGGAAGCTCTTGGACTTGGTGCACAACTAACCCACTACAGGTGTTTCTGTGACCAGCAGCCCAGTTCCTTTAGGTTCCTACAGGGACTCGTGTCATTTCCCAAGGGGCCGATATATTTTCACAAAGTAATCCTCATTGAACATAGAATGTTCAGCAGTCTTTTACATATAATGTTATCTCAGTCCTTACAGAATTTTTGATAATAATATATTATTATTAATGTTAAGCACTTACTAAATGCCAGACACTTTACTACTACCCTCATATACATTGTTTCATTTAGTCCTCACAACCTATTGGTGTAGGTTTATTGCTGTGTCCATTTGACAGATAAGGAAGCTGAGGTTCAGAGTAGTTTGTTACCTTGCCAAGTAGGGGGCCAGGATTTTAATCCACATCTGACGCCAAAGCCCATGCGCTCTGCTTCCATGAGAGGCAGTTGGAGAGTCAAGGTGGACTCACAGGAAAACGCTTAGCATTGAAAAGCAGGTGGTGTTTGGCAGTGGCTACGAAGCTATGGGGCTTGCCAATGTGTGAGAGGTCAGAATCTAGCTTCTAAAAGATCTTGGCAGACTGGAAGGACAGAGCAAGCAATAAAAGGAAATGGACTGGAAAGAAATGCAGAATCCTCTCATTTGAGTGAAAATCAGCTGTTTAAGTTCTGAGGAGGAGAGAAGTGGATTAATAGCTCTCTGAGAGGGAAGAGGGGCCTGGGCATTTAATGATCTGCAAATGCGAGATGGGTCAGCCGGGGAACAGAGGCCGTCATAAATGCTAATGCTACATTCAGACAGATATGGAATCCACCGGGGAGCCCATGAAGACAGCAGGATGAAGAGGGGCTGGAAGTTCGGCCATGTAAATGGATTAGAGGTTTTGGTCTTGACGTCGTTGAAGAACTGTCTTCAGGTGTCTGGAGAGGGAAGATGTAGGGCCCGTCCAATGCATGGGAGATACGGACAGGGACATCTCCACGCCACAGAGACCATCACTGAACTCTCCAGTGGGGTCCGGCTGCTCTGGGAGGTGCTGACTAGGGAGCAGGGGCTGGGTGACGTGGATGGGATTCTGTGCCTCCAGGTGCACAGGTCAGAGCAGAGAAGTCAGGGAGGGCTAGAGCGTCAGGATGGGTCATGGAGAAACTGGAAGGTGATGTCTGCTTTAGAAGATTGGTGCGGGAAGAGCATTCTAGGTGAGGAAAACGCCAGGTGGGGAGATAAAGAAAAAGGGAGTAGACATAAAAAAAGACCTTCCTGTATTTATTTACTTATATTTTTGTTAACCCTCACCCGAGGATATTTTCCCATTGATTTTTTAAAGAGAATGGGAGGGAGGGGGAGAAACAGAGAGAGAAACATTGATGTGAGAGAGACACATCGATGGGTTGCCTTCCACAGAATCCCGGGCTGGGGATTGAGCCTGCAATTGAGGTTCGTGCCCTTGACCGGAATGGAACCCAGGACCCTTCTGTCCGAGGACCCGTGCTCTATCCACTGAGCCAAACCAGCTAGGGTCTTGCTGTATTTATTAAATTGTAAGGGCACATGGCTTGAGTGTAACTTAGGGTTAATTGGGACTAGTTGGGCAGGAGAAATAAGATTGGGTAAAAGGAATCTGGGTGGTCTGTAACCCATGGCACTCATTTAGGTGAGAAAACTCTCTGAGGGACCTTTTATGTTCTGCCAGCAGATTTGGTAAGGTGGCCTTAACCCAGTACATGACCCAAACCTCCCCTTATTTGCAAAAGACCGATTTCAGCACGCTGAAACACATAGACACCACTTTCATTCTTAAGACCTCAGCCTCTCTGAGGGGTAGAGGGAGAGCTGCTCACCATGGAATTTTACCAACTGCAGGTTGCACCATGTGCTTAGTTTGAGAAGTGAGTGGTGGAAGGTAGGTAAAATCATTGCCTACAGTGCTGTGGCCACCCTGAAGAGGCAGGAGGGACCCCCACCCAAAACTGAGTTCAGAGGTCGAGACTGATGATACCACACGCACACCACAAGGCTATGAAAAGGTCTGCTGCTCACATCCCTGCAGTCCCAGGGGAGGCAGGGCAGGCCTCTCCAGCAGGTTGGAAATGGCTGGAGGGAGTAAGGAATGGCTCAGGGTTTTGTTGAGATGGAGGGTTCGAGAGCACCTGGTCAGGTGCTGGTGGGGTTTGAAACTCCTGCCAGTATCAAAGGAGGGAGCACCTGGGACTTCTCATCAGCTTGCCCGGATGTGGGGCAGAAGCAGCAAAACTGAGGGCAGACTCTGTTTACAGCTGATGGATGGAAATCACTTTTCCAGGACCTTGGAGGGGGCTCGTGTGAAGAATACCCGCTCCCACTGCCTGAATGTCACGTGTGTCCGTTTCTACAGTAACTGTAAGGGGACGTGTGCTAACTTTGTCATGCGACTTTGTCCAGGCCTCGTTGCCGGTGCATAACCAGGTGTTACCTTCCATCGAGAGTGTGGACGGCCCGGACCCCCTGGTCACTCTACAGAACCCTATGAGTAGACTGGAGGCCAAAGAGGAAGAGGATGAGGATGAGGATGAGGACACAGAGGAAGAGGAGGAGGAAGATGGTGAAGACACAGACCTGGATGACTGGGAACCGGATCCCCCTCGGCCCTTTGACCCGCACGACTTATGTGAGTACTGGCGAGTTCTCATGAGTGAGGCTTCCTGTGTGGACCGAGCTCCCTGCTCCAGGGCATCGAGCCTCAGCTTGGACATGTGCCCTGACCGGGAATTGGACCCTGACCTCCTGGTACATAGGTTGACACTCAACCACTGAGCCACACTGGCCAGGCTCCCCAGATTTCTCCTGGGACCTTCTGTGTGATGGTGGTAAAGCCCGTTTGCATGGGGCCAGAGATCACCTTCATGTCCAACAGAGAACCCCACCTCATGTGTTTTTCCTTGAATGCATGTGTTTTCAAGGCCACTCCTTAGTCAAAATACGCATAAAGTCACTTTCTCTTATAGACATTCATATAAAGTAACTCTTCACTATTGGAGAATTATTGAAATTGGAAATTCCTATTTCCTAAGCCAGATCTTCACACAGCCAGAGTTGGTAAAATATGATTGGCTAATTAAATTAGCTAAGGGTCATGAGTATGATCTCCGTGTGGTCCAGTGGCTATATATACATCATTCTGACGGCTAGCTGACAGACGGGTGCTACGGGGAGAGAGGCGGTGAATGTGGATGCTTAGTGCAAACTGATCACTCGGAGAATGAGCCAGCGGGTCCTCTCCGGGTGGGTCCGATTGTGCCATCCAGGTAATGAAGGCTGGGATGTTAAATTCATTCATTGAAGCATTACCTTCACGGAGTGCATTGAACTCTCAAACTGCACAGCACGCTCTCTGTTTTTGTTCCCAGACAATGAGATTTCTGTAATTCTGTAATTTCTTTTGAAAAAATTGATTAAATGGTATTGTCAGGTTTTCTTTTTAACAGCTTTATTGAGACATAATTTATACACTATAAAATTCACCTTCTTCATCTCATCAGATTTTATAACATTTAGCCTAATAAGCTCTTCTTTTTTTCTTTTCAGACATATTATAATTGATTTGTAAATTTAGTGGCCACTATTGGAATTAATACCAGTAGAGAAATAAGTCACAGCCACAGCCTGCATATTATTTTTGGCAGGCGTAGCTGATTTCTGCCTGATTTTAGAGGAGAAGTTCAGGATTTTATTGGCCTATGAAAGCTAATATATTACAATTGAATGGGTATTGTAATTATAGGAGTTAATTGAATTTTGGTCTGAAAACTTGGGGGTTTTTCAGCTTAGAACTTTTTAATTGATTTTTTTAGGGGGGGAAAGGGAAAGAGAAAGAAAGGGAGAGAGAAAGAGAGAGAAAAAGAGAAACATCTATCTGTTGTTCCACTTCTTTATGCATCTACTAGAGGCCCGATTCACGAAATTCATGCAAGAGTAGGCCTTCGCAGCCCCAACTGCCTCACCCCTCGCAGCCCCGGCTTTGTCCGGAAGGTTGTCTGGAAGGTCATCCGGATGGCCATTCCCCTTTTCAGCCGTTTGAGCAATTTGCATATTAGGCTTTTATTACTATAGATTGGTTGATTTCTGTATGTGCCCTGACCGGGGATCGAATGTGCAGCTTTGGCGTATCAGGACACTGCTCTAACCAACTGTGCTACCCGGCCAGGGCTCAGCTTTAGAACTTTTTACCTGAGATCAAGTCATGTTGAAAGGTCTGACTTGCAGGTTTTCTGTTTGTTGCAGGGTGTGAGGAGTGTAACAATGCACACGCCTCAGTGTGCCCGAAGCACGGCCCCTTGCACCCCATCCCCAACCGCCCCGTGCTCACCAGAGCCAGAGCCAGCCTCCCCCTGGTCCTCTACATTGACCGGTTCCTTGGAGGTGTGTTCTCCAAAAGGCGCATCCCTAAGCGCACCCAGTTCGGCCCCGTGGAGGGACCCCTGGTCAGGGAGTCCGAGCTGAAAGACTGTTACATTCACCTCAAGGTAAGCTATGCTTTATTCGTAGTTCACTCTTGTTCTCATTACTTGTAAAGGGCACACATTTTCCTACTGAGCCTCCTAACCCAGTTTCCTAGCAGTTGATTGCTAAGGCAGGAAATGAGCAGCTCTCAAAGGTGTTGGTGTTAGGGGCTGTATTAGTTGGCTAGAGCTGCATAACAAAACGCCAGTTCAATGACGGAAAGGCATTTTCTCACAGTTCTGGAGGCTAGAAGGCCAAGATCAAGGTTTTTGGGGGGTTGTAATAAAATGGAGTTGTAATAAAATGGAGTATTTTGCTTGCATTTTCTGGCTTATTTTGTAGCGTTTTTTGATGTGTTAGTTAATGATAAAACATCGTCAGAAACTATACAATCAGGTTGTTAACTTTGTGGTTTTGCCAGGTCATTCTCCTACTGGTGGGTCTTTGGAAGTATCCTTTCCCTTTTATATTTGGCAAGACACAATTCCAGGAGCTGTGCAGAGGGGAGAATCGGGACATATGGTTTAATCTTTTATTATTATGATGCGAATGCAGAGCCTATTGAAGATTTTACTTCTGTTGTTCGGTGTGGCTTTGAACTTTCTCTTCGGTTGCAGGTTTCCCTTGACAAAGGGGACAGAAAAGACAGGGACTTGCACGAAGACCTATGGTTTGAGTTGTCTGATGAGACCCTTTGTAACTGGATGATGTTTGTGCGTCCAGCCCAGAACCACCTGGAGCAGAACCTGGTGGCTTACCAGTATGGCCATCACGTGTATTACACAACAATAAAGAACGTGGAACCCAAGCAGGAACTGAAGGTACGGAGCTGCCTCAGTGGGGGCTCTGCTAGGAATTGTGATGAATTAATGCTTTCTCTACTCCCCGCCCCCCCCCCCCCCGAATTTATAACAGCAAAACCACAATCACCTAAAAATCCAACCACAGGGTCATGGCTAAGTACATTTTAGAATACAGACTTTATGGAATAGTATCCACAGTTAAAAATGAAGTCTCTCAAAATTAATATTTTCATGTTGCTAAAATAATGTTCCATAACAATGATGTAGGATTCATTCATTTAGGGATTAACACACGGAACTCCTACTGGTTTCAGACACGAGGAAAAGGTGGATGGTTCCCTGTGTTAGGAAACTTGTATTCTAGATGGGGGAGGGAGGGGGGGAGGGAGGAGGATGGGCAAAGGATATAAATAAGCAAATGATATCAAATAGTGGTGAACATTAGGAAGGAAACAAATGGTGCAAAAAAAGCAAATAGCAGGAACGGGACCAGCTTAGATCGCTGGAGAGAGAGGGCCTTGCTGAAGAGATAATTAGGCCGAGAACTAGCTAACGAGAAGGGGCCAGCAGTGGAGCAGGGTTAGTGGACGGTGAAGAAAAGAATCCAGCATTCCCAGTGGTGAAGCAGCAAGGGCAAGTGAAGGTTGGGGTGGGAAAGAACTGGCGTGTTTGAGGAACTGACCCCGGGCCTCTTGGTTGAAGAGACAGTGAAGCAGAGTGATGAGAGCTGGGATTGCTTAGCAAGGTAGGACCAGATTATGTGCCCTGAGGAGGCTGCCAAGCATGTCAGGTTTGTCACCAAACAAGAAGCTGTTGCTGGCTTTTAAGCACGGGAATGGCGGAATCTGACGGTGTTTTAAGAAAACCACTCTAGCTCCTGTGTGGAGAATGGGCTGGAGGGAGCAAGAGTAGAAAAGAGGAGGCTCATCGGCATGTATCTAGTGGCAGAAGCAGAGATGAAGAACATTCGAGCAATCACCAGTTTTTGCTAAAGGATTACAGAAGAAAACAGAAGTCCAAGATACCTTTTGCGTTTCAAGTCTGAGCAGTTGGGTGAAAGGTGGGGTATTTGTTGAAATGGGGAAGGTAAGCAGTGGTTAGTAGGGGAGTTGGGGAGCATCTTGGATTCAGTTCTGGGCACGTTAAGTTGGAGCTGTTTGTGAAACACCTAAAATACCAAGTAGGCGATAGAATGTACGTGGAGGGAACAGGGAGGGTCTAGGATGGAGATACTGATTTGGGAGTTATTAGCGTAGAATTGGTTGGAAATGGATATGACCACCTTCGTAACAATGAAGAAGGCCCCGAACTTGGACTAAGCTTTGAGAAACACCAGTATTTAGAAGTCAGGGAGAGGAAGAAGAGCCAGACATGGAGCAGATGCAGGGCGCGGGGAACAGACCAGGAAGGGCGGGACAGCATCTGGAGCCCTGGGTGAGAGCCATTTGGTGACTGGTGGGGGCCGGAGCCGCTGTGATGACAGCTGTGTGAACACCCGTGTTTAAATACAGATAAAAACATCAGGAGAGGCTGTGTTTTATTTAGATGAAGAGACATGAATATCACCTCTTGTGAAGTCGTTCTAATAACAAAAACAATTATTTTTTTTAAAAAAAGGCAAATGAAAACACGCTCTGTGTCTTGGCAGATGAACTTCCTGAGTGCCCATCTGCCGACTGGAGTTGGAGGGGTTGGGCCCAGTGGGGTGTGTTGTTGCTGTGAGCTGCTCTCCACGGGCTGTGGAAAGGCCCGCATTGTTTCTTATGAGCAGGAGAAGTATTTGAGAAGTTAAGCTCGCAGAGAACGCCTGGTGGTGGCCCGCAGTGCCTGACAATGCGCTTGGTTCTTGCAGGTGTGGTACGCCGCGTCCTACGCTGAGTTTGTGAACCAGAAAATTCATGACATTTCTGAGGAAGAAAGGAAAGGTGGCTGCCTTGTGTTTTTTTATATATATATATATATATGTTATATATGAGTTCTAAGTTACATAGATTGTATCTTTATGCAATCCCTAGTTTTTCTATCTCAATATATTTAGAAAGATATTCCAGTAGGCTTTCTAGAGCTACACATCCCTGTCTAATTCTAGGATCAAATGACAGTGACATATTTACATCTCTTTCATGAGTGCTGGGAAATAGTATTTAACGTAATGAAAACCTGCACATGCTAAATCAGAGGGTGATTCCTATCTAGATGTAATCTCTGGGGACATAGCCAGACAGGCATCAATTTTGTTTTTAATGTAAGTGTTACGGTAGGATAATCTCCAAACATAGAAATGCACAAATTAGAAGTATACAGCTCGGTGACTTTCCATGAAGTGAACATACCTGTGTCACCTGCACCCAGGTGCAGGTACGGAACAGGACCTGTGTCCCAGGAGGCCTCTGTGCTTCTTTCAGTTGCCCCTCACCCCAATGTGATGCCTCCTGCCTTCCCTCCCAGACACGACGTGCTGGCACCGAGCTTTGTCTGATAGAAGTGTGTGATGTGTACACCTCTGGTGTGCACCTTTTGCTCAACGTTATGTTCATGAGCTTCATCCATATTGTTGTGTATTGTTATTTAATCGTTCTCATTGCTATGTGACCTAAATCCAAGTAGGTAGTGTCAGAATTGCTTTATATATACAACCCAAATTACGGTAAAATAGATGAATGAATTGTGGTATATTCATACAATAGAATACCAGATCGGTTCTTGGGCCATGTCACCTCCCTGGCACATTGATGTGTGCTTAGCAACTATGGAAGATCACCTGAGCTTCGAGGCCCAGGGTTTTTTTGAGATCTCATTACCGAGGCGCCATGGAGTGACTCACTGTCCCTGGGGTTGAATTTACCTTCCAGCTCCTGCTCCACGCCCTGGCTGCTATTGCCTTGCTCAAAGCAATCTGTAATCAAGTGGCCTGGCTTTCTGGCACAGCCAGCCCTCATCAGAATCATCTCATTAGCATAAATTCAGGGATGGTCAGGGACTACTATCAGTCACAAGAACACATATTACTTGGGAAATTCCAAGGTAGAGTTTATCTCCCAGGAGCCAAGGACAAAAGCCGGTTAAATTCATCATTATATGGGAGGGTCATTTCCAGCTTTTGGATCTTATGAAGAGTGCCACTGAACATTCTTATGCATGTCTTTTAGTGAACATGTGTGTGCATTTCAGGGGTGTACCTCTCGGAGTGGAATTGCTGGGTCATAGGTTATGCATATAATCAACTCTGAACATTGTGCCAAAGTGGTTATATTGGGCATTGATTTTCAAGTTATTTGTGATAAAATATGCCCTCAGATTTTGAAGCTTGCATCTGAATCACTAGGCTATCTGAATACAGATTCACACTGTAGCACGTTCTGTCCTTCCAGTGTGGTGAGGCTGTGTGTGTGTGTGTGTGTGTGTGTGTGTTGGGGGGTGGAAGAGGATAGTATGAGGATGTTTGTTCCTTTGATGTCTTACATCATGAATATATCAGAAAATAAGGTCCTAAAAATTGTTCTCTGTCAAACTTTAGCCTTTGATTTTAAACAGTAATGCAAGTAGCAGACACTGTATGTTTATGAACTTGGCTGTGGTGAGATGAGTGGGGGAGGATGCTTGAGTTTTATTGGTGTCTATTGATCATCAGCCTTTATAACTTCTCTCCTGTGACTGTAGTTCTTCGAGAGCAAGAAAAGAATTGGCCCTGCTATGAATGTAACCGCCGATTTATAAGCTCGGAGCAGTTGCAACAGCATCTCAATTCTCATGACGAGAAACTGGATGTATTTAGCAGGTAGAATGATGGGGAAGGTTTCAGAAACTTAGGTTTTCAAGTCCAGACTCACTTCATACTGTCTATAAACTAATGAGTGTTTGTGTATATGTGTGTGTGTAGACAGGTAACCAGGTAGGCTGCTGAGGGGAATTTTTTATGTCATTTCCCGCCCACTCCATCCTCACTTATCATAAAACTCTTTTCCAGCATAACCAGTCGCCAGCAATGGGAGGGCCTTTCACCTTAGTTAAATCTCCCCTAACTAAAGATCCTAAAGTATGAATTCTTGAGATCGCATACACCTTGGAAATAATCTGCACCTTTGATTTTCAGACTGGTTTTTTTTGTAGTAGAATTCCTTCATTATATGTTTAATTCCACTATATCAAAAAGATAAACGAGGGAGAATCATACCGGATGGGGTGGGCAGGAGCCAGAACAGGTAGGCCTTATGAGTAATGGTGAGAAATGTGGATTTTATTCTGAGTCTTGGTAAGAAATCTTTAGGGTGCTTTGATCAGAGAGTATTGTGATGTCAATTATATTTTAAAACATCACCCAGATAAAAATAAAACCAATTTAGCTTATGTTGGAGCAAGAGTGAAGACAGGGAGCCCAGTGAGAAGCTCTTCCAACTGACCCGGTGAAGAATGAGTGGTTTGGAAGGGAAAGGACCAGAGGACAGAGGTAGGGCTACCAACCTCTGTAGGATTTGAAAAGAGAGGAGATGGTGTGGGCATTTAGGGAGTGGGAAGTAAATGGTCTGGGAAGTACAGTATGATTGCCTGCAGCCTGGGGAGCTCGCTGAGGCCATGGCCATGAATTACAGGGAGACCACCAGCGTGGCTGTGCCATCTCCAGCTCCTTCGCTGCGAGGTGCTGTGCAGAGTGGGCGGAGGGTTGGGTTGCACAGTCCACTGACCCACGCCTGCCAGGGCTCTAGCTTCTTTTTTTTTTCTGAATAATTTGAGACATCTCTTTGAGCTCTCTAGAGAGCAAAGATGAGACATTTAAGAAGTGTACTATATATTAGCAGAAACAGTAGTTTCCATTTTAAAAAAATCAGGAAGAATAATATAAAGTAAGGAAATTAAGATTTGGGAAAGTATTTGTTAATAGCGCAATATGTAGCCATGACTCATTATAACCCAATCTCTTGTCCTCAGAACAAGATGCAGAGGGAGGGGACGAGGCAAGAGGCGATTTGGCCCAGGTCGACGGCCAGGGCGTCCTCCAAAGTTTATCCGCTTGGAAATCACCAGTGAAAATGGGGAGAAGTGTGATGATGGGACACAGGTACTGGGACTGATGGGAAAGATGCTGGCTTAGAGGGCATACGGGCACTACTATTGTAGTTAATTAGAGGATGTACTGGCACTACTATTGGATTTAATACAGATGCCCTTCCGAGGATGACAGCTCTGTCAGGCCAGCCCTCTGCTGCCTGTTGCTTACAGTGTGGCTGGAGACCCAAAGGAGAACTTCACATCCACAGCCTGGGGCAGCAGCCCCCGCCCAGTGCAGGCTGGGAAAGGGAGTCAGGAGCAGTGCTCTCTAAGGCATCCATGAAGATGGACCAGGGCATGCTTGGTTTTTTAAACTTGCTGTTAACATTTTGTAAAATGCAATAAAAATGAATTAGTAAAAAAAAAGTGTGGCTAGAGAAAGGCAAAGAAAACTGTATTTTCAGATATTACTTAGAACAAAAACCCAACTTTCCTGCCCTAAAGCTTTGAATTTGTCTGGAGATATTGGGGGACTCTGTTTAATTAGTTTAAAAATTAAAAAATGATGTTCCAGAAGAGTCTTTTCCTCGTGAAGCGATCTGGAATGTCTCATAGTTTTCACGTTCTATGGGTAGTTGTCTAATTAACTTCCCCAGGAGGAAAATACTTTTTCTGAGCATTACGACTCTAGCCATTTCAAAAAAGCAGTAATTCAAAACCATAGCTAACATTCTTTCAAAGCACGCTCATCTCTATGTAGGTGAGGGAATAATTCTTGGTTATTGCAATTTCAGGACTTGCTACATTTCTCCCCCAAGGAACAGTTCGATGAGGCTGAGCCAGCTACTCTGAATGGGCTGGATCAACCAGAACCAACCACCCTCCCGATCCCTCAGCTGCCACAGGAGACCCCGTCTTCCCTGGAGCAGGAGCCAGAAGCGCACAGCCTGCACCTGCAGCCCCAGCACGAGGAGAGTGTGCTGCCCACCCAGAGCACCCTGACCGCCGATGACATGCGCAGGGCCAAACGCATCCGAGTAAGTGGGAAGCAGGCGCTGGCCTTTCTCCAGTCTGCCGGCTGAAAGGTGCTGTGTTTTCCAACCTGTTCACCATCCACTTCAAAATCTTGCATCTTGCTTATCCCACGCTCAGTCCCCTTATTTTGGAAGAAGGTGTTAACTGGGTCTCAATGTCTTTGTGCCCTGTGGCAGGCAGGTTGGGTGGCTGGTTCTAGAGTCCATCCGTTTATTAAGGATGCAGAGCTGGGCTTTTGGCAGCTCCTGGACTGGGATAGTTAAAGTCGCAGAGCTCTCTGGCTCCCTAAACTCACTGATTGGAAATGGAGAAATAAGTACATTTCATTATAATAGCTACGTACATTTCAGCCAGGCTCATCTGTGTCTAATCATAGCTCTCAAGTTACCCTGGGGCACCTTCATTTGGTTAGCTGCAGTTTTCAAGGGGAGACTGGCAAGTGTCATTAGCCATCAATGCAAAGGGACTGTGTCCAAGCTGATGTGGCAGGTACGACCCACACCCCCCGGGAAAGCTCGAAGTTATGCTGTAGGTCCGGGAGCAAGTCAGCATCTCCCCTGTGTGCCCTGCATCTTGACTCGAGGCCACAGGGCTGTAGGGCCTCTCTGACTTCCAGGCGCACGTGTCTTATTCTTACTCTGCAGATAGCCTTTGAGTCCGAGTCAGGAGCTGCAGGGGTGCGTGTGGAGAGCAATGTGGTTTTGTGGAGTAAGTGCCTGTGCTGCCAGTTTGCATTCAGAAAACAGTGTCTTAAACCCCTGTTTTTGAGCAGGATGTGTAAAGACTTTTATTAGTACTTTATGTGTGGACGATTGGGCTCTTTCTGTATAACTTTCCAATTTCTAGATGGCTCATGGTTTTAGCTAATGCTTCTGTTGGTTTTCTTACTTGCATAGGCGTAGCTTATATTTCTTTTGGCATTCTTATATGCCTATATGCTAGAAGGGACCTTGAAAAATAGTGTAGTCCATGTCTTATGCAAATGTGTTTAGTCATTAATAGCTACGTGGTAGCATCGAAGGGCTCTGAGCCCACTGAGGCTATGTGACCTCTGTGAGGGTCCTGCAACGGAAACATATAACACTTGTGGCTCCATGTATGTTATTTCAAAAGTGTATGTAAACACACAGAACTAGAGACCAGAAAGGCAAACGGCTGCGAACCAGTAACTTCCCATCCATCATTCCACGTTACTTCCCAGTCTGCATTTCATGCTCTTGCCCAATTATTGTCTTTTCTGCTTTGGCCATTCTGATTTTTCACTAAGTCCAGAGACATGCTTACTAGATTTAATTATTTTTTGACGGAAAAACCTCAACCCCACCCGTGTAGTGAAGATATGGACATACAAGCATAATCTAGCTATGATTGTACTTGTGTTCTTGAGTGAGTGGGTTGCCGGTTTCTGTACAAGGCTCCTCCTGTCAAAGCAAAAGCCACGTGCATGTGGCTTCTTAAAGGTCAGTCTTAGTTGAGCTATTTTTCCCCCCTCACACACTCTAAAAGGTAGGGCTATGTATTTTTTTTTTCATCTTTTCTGTCCAGGTTGGTAATGACCAACTGAAAGGAAGTCTTCCAAGCCAATTGGTAATGTAACTATTTTTCTCTCCTCTAATGCTGCCTGCTCAGCTGGAGCTGCAGGTAGGTTGGTTTCTGTGTTTCAATAACAGAATGTTCCTTTAAGTGTTTGCCTTACCTGCTATCCTTTGCAACCCGTACTGACTAAATCCTGGTAGAAACTACAGCTTGGTTGCGGCAGTAAATGCAAATTAGTTAATGGATAATGATCATTGATTTTCTAATAGATCAGCGAGTTAGTCATGGGCTTCGGATTCCTCAGACACAAAAGGAAGGGTAGGACTAAGTGATCAATCCAAGGTCCCTTCCAGCTCTAAGACAGTTTGAGTGACGCGTGGACTGGTATTGAATTCTAACGCGTGTTCAGCATGTGCTGTGTACAGTAGAACTTTCCCCGAGGCCTGACTTCTCAGAGTTTGCAGTCTGATTGGGAAGACAGTGCTAATGCAAGGTGCTAAGAGCTAAATTTAAAAGTATAGCGTATAATTGTTAAAGGAACTTCGAAGAGTGAAAGGCAAAAAAAAAAGATGACGGCGTCAGGGAATAGATGAATTCATAGATGTAGTGAGACTTAAAACTAGTCCTTCATAGAGAGACCGGAAGAAGGTCGACCATTTCAAAGGAGGGCAGCCATGGGATGCAGGCCGAGAAAGATGTGCGTGGTGTGGTTATGGGACAGTGCGCACACTAGCCTGACCCTAGGGTGGGTGCCAGGTGAAGGACAGCAGTGACTGAGGTATGTCGGGCAGGGCTAGCCCACCCAAGGCTTTGAATGCAGGATCAAAATAATATGGAAATTAATCAAGAGTTTAGATTCCTTGAGCTATTAATATCAAACGTTAGAAACATGTTATGGTCTTTGTCTGCAAAGAATCTGTGGTCTCAGAATTCACTGCCTTTGTAAGTTGAATCTCTCATCACAGATTTTAGCAGCTGTACCACTTGGGCTCCCTTCTGTTAGCTTCTGCACCGTGTAGGGTGGTGTGGTTGACTGGCCGTATCTCATTAATGCCAGTGAGCATTACAGGGTCCATAATGGATGCATCTGTGCTGCCGTCACCATTTTCCATGATTTCTCCTGGAAATGTGTGCCAACTGTAGCTCCGAGCTACAGGAGCTCCCGGAGTGAAATGCCTGCATCCGTGCTTGGAATGGTCTCAGCACCCCTGCCGGGCAATGCGAGGATTTCATTAGGGTCATCAGATCAGAGAAGGGCATTCTGGTTCTTGGGGACCGAGACTGTGCTCAGGGCTCTGTGGGAATGGACAAGACGATAAGAGCAAGGTTGTCCCAAGCACCAAGGAAGTGGAGCCAGGTGGCTGCTCAGTTAGATCTAGTGTCTGAGGATGCGCATCCATAATCAGAAGTGACAGGAGCCCTATGAGCGTAATGGATCAAAACAACACTGAGTCCTAGAGGTGACATCCAAGGAGAAATGGACTCTCCAGCGAGGCCAAGGTCAGGTGGTGTACACTGTGTCTGCCCTTGGGAACTTCGGTGACTTGGGTGAAGGGAACGATTCTTACCTGCCGAAAGCGCTCTAAATCTGGACTCTCTGAACCTCAGGACAGCATTTGCTTATTTGCCATGTTTCCATAAAGTTTTGACAGGAGCTAAAATACTGAGAGCTTTGATGTAAAATAAGGATCTGTAGATTTAAAAGGTTGGGCCACTGCTAGGCAGGAGAATGAAGCGAAAGCGAGTTCTGGCTGATTTGAGAAAGGTGTACTCTTAAAGATCTCTGCAGATGCTATGGAAAGTTTGAAATAATTCTTTTTGATTTTCATACGAAATGCATTTCATTAATTCTCGAACGTCTATTGAACACTTCCTATGAAAGAAGGTATTTTTAAAGGGCTCTCGATGCAAAGGTGAATAAGATCTGCTGTAAGCCTGGAGCAGCCCCCGTCAACTTGGAAGATAGGAGAATTCCTAAGCACCCGCTCAAGACATGAGTGTAACGTGCACTCTCAGCCCTCTGGAGAAGCCCCGAGGAGGAAGTTTTATATTGCAAAGTAACTAGGTCCAGAATTCTCACTAAATCAAAAACAAGTATTCTGCTTTTTCCAGAAATGATTATTTTATAGCAAATTTAGTTTAAAAGTTGCGGTGTGTAAGTAATTTGAAATGAAGGGTTTAAGCATTGTTCATTGCACTTTTTATTTTACAAATAATGCATTCAAAGCTCTCCTAATTCTTCCATTACTATTCCCTTCTACTTACCTAAGCATGCCTATCCATATATATATATATATATTTTTTTCTTTTTGAGAGATTCCCCTCCCCTACCCCCGCCCCTTCTCATAGCTATGCAGACCTTACCCCTGGTTGTTGAGGAGCTCATGAATGAAACTTCATTGTAGTTTAGCTAAGGTGTTGGTTCTGTACTATCCCTGTGAAAGATGACTGTTAATCTGCTCTCAGGAGAGATGAGTGGCTTTTCCAATAGTGGTGATGAATTTGCACTGACTATCCGTATTCTCTCACTTGGATCCCCCATAACAACTGCATGCATTTCCTAGGTGGCTAATCAACATTAGAAATGCAATCTGTGACTGAAAAGGGGGCGGGGGGGCAAAACTGACTGGTCTACACAAGGGGCCAAAGCAACAAGCTTAACTTGGTTAGCCTGGCATGCTAACCGGTGGAACTAACTAGCTGCATTGAGGCTTGTCCTCTGCATTTTCTGCGTAGAAGTGATTAAATGTACAGTCTCTATTTATCATGTGTGCTCATGTATCTTATCTCATGATATATAAACATGTTCACATAAATCTGTATCCTTTGTTTCTGTCTCAGTTCTTTTTCTTAAATTGAGACATAATTCACATATCATAAAAATCGCCCTTTTATGGTGGTTTTTAGAATATTCCCACAGTTGTGCAGTCATCAGCACTATCTAATTCTGGAACATTTCATCACCCTCAAAAGAAACCCCGTATCCATTGCCTCCTTCACCCAGCCCTTGGCAAGTGCTACCCTTCAGTTCTTTTTATTACCGTATTTTTTTTTTTTTGCTAAACATTTTAATCAAGCTTTGAATTCTTTATTTCTTTTTTTAAAACATATTTTTATTGATTTCAGAGAGGAAGGGAGAGGAAGAGAGAGACAGAAACATCAGTGATGATAGAGAATCATTGATCGGCTGCCTCCTGCATCCCCCCTACTGGGGATAGAGCCTGCAACCCAGGCATGTGCCCTGACAGGGAATCAAACCATGACCTCCTGGTTCATAGGTCAACACCCAACCACTGAGTCACGCTGGCCAGGTCAAGCTTTGAATTCTTTTTCTCAAGGACTTGAACAAGTAACATTTGACTGACTTGCTCCAGCCTCATTCATGCACGTGTGACTTAATCCCAAGTCATTTCTTCCAAGTGTGCAATTTTTATTCCACGTCACTTTAGGATTTGTCTTACTGAGCAAGCCCTCTATTGGGAATACGTTTTTGAATGTTGCTTAAATCCTCTCATAAGAAAACACACACATAGACATAAAACAAAACACAGGAAACGTTCGTCTTTTCAAGATGAACTTCTTTGCGAAGTCTTCATTTTTAATGTTTCACCAGAAAAATCTTTTTTTTTCCAGTGTGTCCTAGAGTTTCATTTCTATGGGAAATCTGTGATCACAGAGATCATCCGCTTTCTCTATAAACGTGCGATCACACATTAATTTCCTCCCTAAATGATCATGTCTGTGTGTGTCTTTCAGAACGCAGCTCTCCAGCATCTGTTCATTCGCAAGTCCTTCCGGCCTTTTAAATGTTTGCAGTGTGGCAAGGCCTTCCGTGAAAAGGACAAACTGGACCAGCACTTGCGCTTCCACGGGCGGGAGGGGAACTGCCCGCTGACCTGTGACCTCTGTAACAAGGGCTTCATCAGCAGCGCCTCCTTGGAGAGCCACATGAAGCTCCATTCGGACCAGAAGACGTACTCTTGCATTTTTTGCCCGGAATCCTTTGACCGCCTTGATTTGCTGAAAGACCACGTGGCCATTCATATCAATGACGGCTACTTCACCTGCCCGACCTGTAAGAAGCGGTTCCCAGATTTTATCCAGGTGAGTGTCTGCCACTGAGATTCCCCTATGCTCCCTTCTTTCGGTGAGAGACACGGATTTTTGGAAAATTGAGACTGCCGTCACCTGTCACCTGCATTTTCTTCCCTTCTTTGTAACAATTTTACAGTTGAAGACATTTCTTCAATCTACTTTATTTTTTTAAAATATATTTTTATTGATTTTCAGAGATGAGAGAGAGAGAGAGATTGAAACATCAATGATGAGAGAGAATTATTGATCAGTTGCCTCTTGCACACCCCCTATGGGGATCGAGCCCGCAACCTGGGCATGTGCCCTTAATGGAAATCGAACTCAGGACCTTTCAGTCCTCAGGCCGACACCCTATCCACTGAGCCAAACCGGCTAGGCAGAACTCTGTTTTTAATCTTAAAAAGAAAGAAAAAGAAAAAAAATGGTGGTTGCATGTAATCAGGGCCTTGACTACAGGCATCTTCCTTCTGCCTCTTCTTATGGGAGGTTAAGATTTGTAAGGCTTCTGGCTACTTGTTTTGTCACTTTGTCATAAGGAAAGAGTGTGTTACTGAGGCCAATTACCAGTCACAGCTAATGGGATTACCTTGCTCAGCTTCTGAAAGCGCTTGGCAACGCCTCTGGCGCCCTCTAGAGTTGATAAGCTGCCTTGTCATTTCCTTTGATGCCCCAGTCCCCTGACTTTTTCTGTCTTCGCTGGCAGGTGAAAAAACACGTGCGGAGCTTCCACTCAGAAAAGATCTACCAGTGCACGGAGTGCGACAAGGCCTTCTGCCGCCCCGACAAGCTGCGCCTCCACATGCTACGACACTCGGACCGCAAGGATTTCCTGTGTTCTACGTGTGGGAAGCAGTTTAAGGTGTGTAAGCAGGAGCAGCCTGAGTCATGTCGAGCGAAGGATCAGTGCGTGTTTGTTTCATCAGCTCATCACCCACTTTCAAAGAACTGGTCTGGAGATGCATTTCATGCCTCATGTTTGAGTTAGTTATTCTGATAACATTAAGGAAACAAGCTCACCTTCATTTCCCAAAATTATTCATTCAGATCCCTGAACAAACAGAGTAATAATGCATCTCCTAAAATAATCCAGATGTATGATAACTAGAACTAAATGGCTATGAGGCATTCCTAAGAGAACAGTCCGTTTACTTACCAAATCAAGAGATTTTTATTGAGCACTTACTAAGCACAGGAGGCTGGTGATTGAGTTCTGCAGCAGCAGGACCGTCATCTGATGGAGGTGGGACATCTGTCGGGTGCGGAGAGGGCTTAGGCCACTCTGGGGAGTGTTAATGACGTCAAGGATTAAATTGGAAGATAAATTCAGTAACCTGCCTGGAATTTAGAAGCACAGGAAAAACCCATGGGAGGCCCAGAGATCTGAGTTAAACAAATAAATGTAAAAATGGTTAAAAACAATGCTTCATTGGGAAATCAGATGATTCTGCAAAGATTTGTGGGGGGACACCCTCCTGGCTCTGACATAGGTGGCTCCGTCATGGAAACTGGAAAAGTATCAGGAGGGGAAAGATAATTTTACAAGGATGTGTTTGTATGGAACGTGGAAACACCTTTCAAAGCTTAAGTTTTATGGTGTGTGTGTTACAGGTTGTAATCTCGATGGCCTTTCATATATAGTAGCGTGATTTAGAACTCTCTCAAGGACGCCAATGGGAAAGTATAAAGGGGTCTAGGTTTTTCTGTTTCTGAATTGGGAAGATGGCCATTTATCTAAAAGGATTCCTGTTTTGTGATGCTAACTGGTTGGCCATCTATCCAATCCACTTAACATTTTTTGGTAATCTATTTTGTGCCAGATACCATTTTAGCACCTAGGCATAAAACACACACACACACACACACACACACACACACACGCACACACACACACTTTTCTGCTAATACATTTTACTTTCACCCGACGTATTAGACAGGCTTCAGTCAGAGAAGCCAAACCACTGTGAGTACTATGGGATGAGGGGTTATTACAGGAGGAGACGGAGAAGTAAAGGTCTGACAGGAGAAGTTGGAGGACCAGAGAAGGTCACTGCTGCCCTTGTGTGAAACCCTGGTCTGGGTGCACAAATGGGAAGCGGGGAGTCTGGGAACCCAGGCCCTTCCAGCTCACGGTGGGCTGTGAGGGAGAGCTGGTGCTGCCCGTGGACGACGGAGTGGCTGCCCATGGGGTGGACATGGACTGGCCAGCAGGGCTGGCAGTTGAGAGCTGGTGACTCATGGGAGACAGCAGGGATGCTCTGGTACCACCGCATCTGACCGGAGAGCATCGCGGCTGCTGCTTCATCTGCACCTCCCAGTCTGTACCCAAGAGGAGAGGACCTAGTCTGCTGGGAGGTCCTGAACCTTCACAAGAAACTGTGTAATCATATGTCCAAGAGCAGCGCCTCACGGGGCAAGGGAGCTGGCGTGTTTTGTTTTTGCATTTGTTTTTGTTCAGGATGGGCTCTGCCTCATTGTTTTTCTAGGGACTCACACCAACATGTGCTCCTCTGACTAGACCTAGACCATAAGCTCTGTCCATAGCAGGCAGTGTAATTGTTTGCTTGAACTACATTTATTTGGGACTTAGAAGAATGTCATTATATTTATTAAAACATGTGAGAATTGAGTTTACATACTGCTTTGTAAATTCCGTATTAGCTATCATTCATTATCAATCTGTCTTGTACTTCTTACTACCAGACTTATTTCATGTACCCTTCGATCTCTTCTGCAAAAATGCAGTCATTTTTTTTCCTAAAAAATCATTATTTTTCTTAAAAAAAACAGTTTTATTGATTTTTAGAGAGAGAGGAAGGGAGAGGGAGATAGAAACATCAATGATGAGAGAGTACCATTGATTGGCTGCCTCCTGCATGCCCCCTACTAGGAATTGAGCCCACTACCTGGGCATGTGCCCTGGCTGCGAATTGAACCGTGGCCTCCTGATTCATGGGTCAACGCTCAACCACTGAGCCACATGGGCCGGGCAAAAATCAGTATCTTTCAAATTGAAGGGTCATTTTCCACTGAGGCTCGGTGAGATGCACTTACTTGCTAGTGGACAGAGTCATTCCGAGCCACTTTGCCATGTCCTTGTATGTTCCAGCTCTGGCAACTCCGGTGCATCTCAGTAGGTTGTGGTCACTGCTAACTTGTGTTGATATTTTAAAAATATCCCTTCAATTAAAAACTTTCTAGCCCCACTTCTCACCCCATCGCCTTTTCAACGATTTTCTCTCAATAGCGGAAAGACAAACTGCGGGAACATATGCAGAGGATGCATAATCCTGAGAGGGAGGCCAAGAAAGCTGACCGCATCAGCCGCTCCAAGACCTTCAAGCCTCGCATCACGTCCACCGACTACGACAGCTTCACGTTCAAGTGCCGCCTGTGTATGATGGGCTTCCGGAGACGGGGCATGCTGGTCAGTGCCGAGTGGCCGCGGGCTCCGCCTGCCACCTTTCCCCTCCCATTTCTGTTTTATGGTGATGTCTCTTGTATCTACCTGTATTCTCTACAGACTTGTCCATAGGTTCTGGCAGTGGCTGGGGAAAAAAACAGGCGAACGTTCCCAATTTGGAGTTCTCTCCTTGCCAGTCTCCCTTCTCCCTCCTTTGCCATAGTTCATTAGAAGAGGTGTACAGCTAGCACTTTTCTTTTTTGTTTTGTTTGTTTGTTTTGTTAATCCTCACCTGAGGATGTTTTTTTCCATTGACTTTTTTTAGAAACAGTGGAAGGGGGGGGGTGGGGGAGAGAGAGAAACATCGATGTGAGAGAGACTCATTAATTGGTTGCCTCCTGTATGTGCCCCCAGCGGGGCGGGGGAGAACCTGCAACCCAGGTGCGTACTCTTACCCAGGAATCGAACCCATGACCCTTTGGTGCATGGGCCGACGCTCTAACCATTGCGCCACTGGCCAGGGCTATCTATCACTTTTCATTGCTAGTTTTGTTTTGCTTTACCTATCTCAGTCTCTGGTCTTACCACATTTTATTTCCCTCTTCTCATTTGTGTTCCTGAGTGTACTTCCTCTGGGCTCTTTGCCTTCTCGCCGATGGTTCCTTTAATGCCTCTTTCCAGCTATGACACAGCAACAGAAGAAACTTTCATCAAGGCAGGCGTGTGACCAGGTTAGCTGGGACACCAGGACAGCCAGCGCACAGCAGGCCCCAATACGGCCTTCTGTTACAATCTCAATGAGATGCCAGAGGGACCTAATCCCTGTTTGTGTCAATTAGCCTGGGGCAAAATTGGTTTCCTTCTTGTTGTTTTGTTTAAAGTTGCAGAACCTATTGACAGCTAAGACATTAAGTGAGGACTTTGTATTTCTGCCAGGAGCTAAAGTCAGAGAGCATCATTTAAAATTCAGAACCTTGCCTTAGCTGGTTTGGCTCAGTGGATAGAGCCTCGGCCTGTGGACTGAAGGGTCCCAGGTTCAGTTCCAGTCAAGGGCACGTGCTTGGGTTGTGGGCTCAGTCCCCAGTAGGGAGTGTGTAGGAGGCAGCCAGTCAATGATTCTCTCTCATCATTGATGTTTCTATCTCTCTCTCCCTCTCCCTCTCTGAAATCAATAAAAATATTTTTTAAAAAATAAAATTCAGAACCTTAATTTTTATCTCAGTCAATGTCCTCCCTTAGGGAAGGGCACTAAGTAATGAAAGACAGGTTTGCTTCAGGAGAATTCACCAGAGAAGTTCCTGCTACTGTAATTTCCCTTTGCCAACAGTTCTTTCATCAAAGACTATTCATGGGATCCACAGCGGCCCAGTTCCCTGCCGTAATCTGCTGAGTTCCTGTTAACAGGGACTGCTAATGCTCTGGTGTCAGATGGGCCTGGTTCTGGCCGAACGCCTGTTGTTTCGGGGCGCTGCTGCAGAGGATGCCAGCTTCTCGCCGCCGCTCCGAGACCTTTGCCTGCTTCTGCTCGCCATGGGCTTCTTTTTCTCATGTCCTTTCTCCCGTTTAGGTCAATCACTTATCGAAGAGGCACCCGGACATGAAGATAGAGGAGGTGCCGGAGTTAACCCTGCCCATCATCAAGCCCAACCGCGACTACTTCTGCCAGTACTGTGACAAGGTAACGGAACCGCCCGCCGCGGCGGCCCTGTGGGAGCCTGCGCAGGGCCAGCTGGTCTGCGGGTGGGAACGTGGGCCAGGACCTTGCAGGGCTCTCGACAGATGGTTCCCCGGCTCTCAGTGTTTTTCCACCAAACAAGGGCTGCAAGTGTAGCCTCAGCTTAAGCCAAATTGTTTTTCTTCAGAGTGAGCTGGCTTTGTTGTACTCGTTTTCCCTTCTCTGTGATTTTTGCTGCAAAAGAAGAGTCTTATTACCAAGAGCTTAGTATATGGATTCATTTAAAATGTCTTAGCTCTAAAATGAGAGTGTTTATCAGCGGGTTTGTAAGACATACGGTAGATTTTGGATGTCTGGAAGATCGAGTAGCACGTGCAAAAGTTTTGCGGTGGAGTACTCTGTGCTATTTTATTCTTTATTTCTGTACAGTTACAAAAAAGACCGAAGGAGAATATGTGTTTATTGCTTCACTGTAACACTGTTTCCTTATACAATGGACAGTCACCACTAGAGGTGCTGGTTGCTATTAGGCTTTTCATTGTGGAGGATTCTTTGGCATCTGGCAGTCTAGTCCATACATCATGTGAGAGCTTTCACAGAAAGGCTAAGGAGGACTGGTCTTAGGGACAGTTCTCTTTCTCTGTGTAGCCACCTCTTCAACTGTAGGAGAAAGGCTGGTTTCGCTATTACTAGCGCAGATCTATAAATCCAAGGAGGATGGAGAGAGGGCTAGAAGCATCACTGGTGAGAGAGAATCAATTCTGCACCCAGGCATGTGCCCTGACCAGGAATTGAACCGTGACCTCCCGGTTTGTAGGTCAACACTCAACCACTGAGCCACACTGGCCGGGCTAGATGATGCCCTTGTTTTATTCTAATCTATGTTATACATTATCTTCCATTTTATCTGTTTATTTTGGGTGCATGATATCTATTTTATTTTGGGCTACAGTAATACTTTTTCTTTTTCTTGTACGGAAATTGTTAGAGGGTTGGCTTTAAGCAGGAAAGGGGAACTGTGTACAGCTTTCACGGCAGAGCATCTGAACTTGCAGGTTTACAAAAGTGCCAGCAAGCGGAAGGCCCACATCCTGAAGAACCATCCCGGGGCCGAGCTCCCCCCAAGCATTCGGAAGCTCCGTCCTGCCGGCCCTGGAGAACCAGACCCCATGCTGAGCACCCACACCCAGCTCACAGGCACCATAGCCACTCCTCCTGTCTGCTGCCCCCACTGCTCCAAACAGTACAGCAGCAAGGTAGGGGAGCTGCTGGCGGAGTCCGAATTGGGCCACTGTGTAAAGGGTCTCTGGAGAGAAGGTGGCTTCTCCCAGGCGCTCTGCCGGCTTCTTCCGACTTGATGGGGGCTGACGGTTATAAGGAGCTGCTTTCTGAGAGCTGGGAACCATAGATGGAACAGGGGAGAAGAGGGTGGGCCTGCCCTAGGATTAGCACCCTCTGGTGGCCTGAGCACTCGACTGGGCTCCTTTTCCTTGGCCTGCAGCTGAGGCCTCCTGTGAGAGTCCAGCCCAGAGTTTGTGAGCTTGGGCATTCGAGTACTGCCTGGGAGCTCACGTGATGGCTCCTGAAAAGGGGGGCTGTGACTGACTGCGGCAGGTGCTGGTGGGACCAGGGGGTGCCGTGAGGTGTTCTTACCTTGCCTGATGGCGGGGGTCATGTGATTCTTTAATTTCTTTCAGCCTCTTCTTTTCCCTTTGTAGCATGTGCCGCCTTAGGGAGGGCACAGCCAGCATGGCTCTTTTTTTTTTTAAATGGATAACATCAGAGACTTTAGGAGCCTTTGTAGGTTTGCTTTTGAGAAAGACTGAGAATAACTAATTCCAGCAGTAACTCATTCTCGGTTTTTGCCATAATTTTCCAGACCAAGATGGTCCAGCACATTCGCAAGAAGCATCCAGAGTACGCCCAGCTCCCTAACACCTTGCACACGCCGCTGACCACCGCTGTGATCAGCACTGCTCCGGCCGTGTTAACCACCGACAGTGCCACCGGCGAGACCGTGGTGGTAAGTGTGTGACCGGCGAGAGCATCTCTCCTTCAAGGCCAGAGTCTTGAATTGGCTGCAAATGTAGCCACTCTGCTTCTGATCGGGTCTCCTTGGTGAAAGGGGTAGTCAGTGCTGCTCCTTGGCCGCCAGGTTGTCCGAACCTTGAGGGTAACCCCACTGGGCCTGGCGTAGGCAGATGGATACAGATATGTAGGTAACCTTCCCACATCCTCTCTGCTTAGGAATTTCTTCTATCTGAGCTCAGGACTAACTTGTAGGTTCCACGATCCACCAGTGATACCAATGAGCCTTTTGTAGGGTCTAAGTGCACTGAAGTAGCTGCAAGCAGTACTGCCATCAGCTAATGAGTTTTGTGTGAATTTTCTAGACAACAGACCTGCTAACCCAGGCCATGACAGAGCTGTCCCAGACCCTAACGACCGATTACCGGACGCCGCAAGGGGACTACCAGCGAATTCATTACATCCCCGTGTCACAGTCCGCATCCAGTCTCCAGCAGCCTCAGCACATACAGCTTCAAGTGGTGCAAGTGGCCCCGGTACTGTACTGCTCTCGTCTCTCGTTCCCTTCCTGAAGGCCACATTGTCACCAGCACATGTGGCCCTGAGCTTAACGATTCTCAGAGCTGGCGTGGGGCCCTGCTATAATGTGCTTCTGCACGTACATTCGGAGTCTAAGGCGTTTGTAAAGCCCTCCGCAGGCCGTGCAGGGCTCCGACCTAGCAGTCAGAGGGTTTAGGCTCCAGCGCACGCTGCCATCCGCGCTGCTGCGGACAGTACCCGCGCAGACTCTCTGAGCCTCTTCTGCATCCTTATCCTGGGTCACTGGGGTGACTTCTTGGTGAGGAGCCAGTGTGAGAGGTCCCGACACAGGCACCAAGTGCCTTCTCTCAGTGGGAGCTTGAGAACAAATGTGACCCAGTCTCTGAATACCAGTCAGCACCTTATTCGAATAGACCAGCGACTTTCAACAGGGGTGCCGCAGGGTTTTCAAAACATGCAGCACCTCACTGTTTAGCCAGGGGCAGTGGCCTCTCTTCCCTTAGATCAGCGGTTCTCAACCTGTGGGTCGCGACCCCTTTGGGGGTCGAATGACCCTTTCACAGGGGTCGCCTAAGACCATCGGAAAACACATATATAATTACATATTGTTTTGTGATTAATCACTATGCTTTAATTATGTTCAATTTGTAACAGTGAAATTGGGGGTCACCACAACATGAGGAACTGTATTAAAGGGCCGTGGCATTAGGAAGGTTGAGAACCACTGCCTTAGATTCTCAAGTAAAAAAGTGACAACAGCCAACACAACAATAGCTGCCTGGCGTGAATGAATCAAAATTATACATATTGTTCTGTTAGATCGGCAGCAAATATATATTTTTTGGTGTGCCACAGAAGGTTAGTAATTAGTTTATGTGTGCCATGAGATGAAAAAGGTTGAAAATCACTGGTATAGGCATAGAACTGTGTTCCTTCTACCAGGTAATTAGTAGCTCATTCTTCCTGATTAGGGAGCTGAGAGAAGGAACCCTCCCAGAACTGTTGTTTTATTTAATTACACTGAGGAAGGGTCCACCAGGCGCATGAACAAGCCAAATGGAGATCATGTGGTCTCTGAAAACTGGAAGCTGATACCAGAGCAGGGAGTGGAAGCTGCCACTCACGGACTGTTCTTCCTCTCGTTTTTCTTATGGGAGGGCTCTTAAGGTTGGGCTCTGGAAGAATCTATGGGTCCCTGGACTTGCCTGTAAAATACGATGTGCATGTACATTTTTCTGGGAAAAGGGCTCAGACTTTAGCCGGTTTTCAAAGATGCCTGCGATGTATAAAAGGTTACGAACCACTGTTCTAGTGGTTCAGTCGAGACAAGCTAAAAGGCAATTCTCTTCCGTGATATCTTTTAACTCATAAAGGGTAGGTCATTACATTTAATTGAAATTGAAGGGGAAAGATTTCCGATTCCGGAGAGCGTCTCATCCAGCTTTTATTAAGAGCTATATTTCTGCTGGCTCCTTCTCTTTCAGAAGTTAATAGCATTAGTGGCCCCTGTTTTACAAGCGTCGTTTTGAAAACTGCCTTTTCCCCTGAGGTTTGCCCGCTCGGCTTAGGTGTGAGCTCCCTGGGAGCGAAGCGTCGGATCTAAAGTTCTCTTCCCCCTCTTCCTGTGTTTCTGTTGGGATATTGGTTGAGCTGAACTTCTCCGGAAAGACTTCCCTTCACCTCGATCAGAATGGATCTGTGTTTGCCTCCCCCAGGCCACCTCCCCTCACCAGTCTCAGCAGTCCACTGTGGACGTGGGCCAGCTGCACGACCCGCAGACCTACACGCAGCACGCCATCCAGGTGCAGCACATCCAGGTCACCGAGCCCGCCGCCTCGGCCCCGGCCTCCCAGGTACACGACGCGTAGACGGTTCACAGACATGAGTGTGACCCAGGGACCCGGAAGAATTAATAAGAGTGAAGAGACATTCCCTTCAGACCTGGTCTCCTTGACTACCGAGCTATTGTTAGTGTGGACCTTAATATTGGTATTATGGTCACACGTTAAGGGATCAGCTTTGATCCCAACAGGCCCTGTGATAGGACATCCTGCAGACGACATGGCCTTTGCTTCCTCTTCTCAGTGCCCGGGGATGGACGTCTGCAATGGCTAAGTTGTTCCTGTCATTTGGAGCAGTGACTTTGAGGAACACTATTGAGCTGGGATGATTGAGTCTGTTGTTAAGATAGCATAGCGAGACCCATTAAAATATTTAGGAAATCCTATCGCTTTCAGGAAGCTTTCCTAGGTCTTGTCCGCAGGAGCGTGGATTCTCGTAGGGGGATAACATAGGACGTGCATGCATAGGACGTGGAGGGGAGGTGTGTGTACCCTAAAGGGTGCACGTAGGCCCCCCTGGTGTTCACAGGCCCCAGGGTGAGAGTACAGATGAAGACCTGCGTGCCAGGGCTAGAGCACTTACAAGTCTTGAGTCAAGCTAACAGACCATTAAATAAAATATGTTCTGTCTTCCTACTTGACACATACACTTTTATAATGACAAAATTGAGACGTGTATGTGAAGTAACAGTGATCATAATAACCTGATACGTGGGTAGTGCCAGTTTGAAATGAATAGTATTTTCTGCCACACACCACAATGGCTCTAGCACCTGCTGGGCTGTCGCAGGAGGAAACTGGGAGGAAGGCTTTCTCGTTTGCTAGCTCTTTGCCCTTCCAGTTTCTGTGGAAATCCATGGGGTACACACACACAGTCTCTACTTTCCTGCTTATTGGGGGCAGGGAGTGGGGGCGGTAGAGGGAGGCCCCTCGGTCTCAGGAGCCCAAAACCCTTGCAGCAGTTCTCAACCTGTGGGTCGCGAACAATGAAAATACATCCTGCATATCAGATATTTACATTATGATTCATAACAGTAGCAAAATTACAGTTATGAAGTAGCAACGAAAATAATTTTATGGTTGGGGGTCACCACAACATGAGGAACTGTAGTAAAGGGTTGCAGCATTAGGAAGGTTGAGAACCACTGAAACCCACATGGAGGAGGCAGGACCCCTGCAGGAGGACAGGCCCAAGGAGGAGACTTGTACAGGCCCTCGAAGTGGGTGCAGGGCCATTTCCACAGGGAAGGGGGGTGTGGCCCCCTAAGGGAGGCCTGGAAGGGGCTCTTTCACATTCTAGGGGCGTAATCACTTGGCCTCCTAGGAGGAGGGCACAGCGAATAAGGGTCCCCCTGGCCTGGGTCAAAGAGTGATATGGCTATAGAGATAAATTCTGGGAATTAAGATGATGTTTAGGACATTTTTGTAGAAGTGGTGTTTGAATTAGGTCTTGAAGGAGAGGTAGGATTTTGACGGGGTACTTGGGGAAGGCATGATGACTTGAATATGGTCTCATTTGAGTCAAGACCCAGAGATGGGACATTGTGTATGTATAGAAAACTGTTTAGGTAGTAACAGGAATTGGTGTTTGGGGAAAAAAAAGCTGGAAAGGTGGTTTGGAGCTGGAGTATGGGAGGCTCGAGGGGCAGCCTGGGAGCCTGGGCCTTACCCTGGGGACAGGAGTGGGCTCCGCAGCGGGGTCTGCACCTCGCCCTGTGCTCAGCTCCGCTAACGCTGGGTCTGTGCTGTTCACTTCAGTGGGAAGTAGGACTTCAGTTTGTGCGACAGATTAGCTTTGTGATGCAGGCAGGTTAGTTCGCTTCTCCATTGTTCTCACTTCGTGTGATACAGATAATCGTATTTTCACTCACTTATCTTTCTAACAATATACTCTTGGAGATAATCCTTTGAAAACGAAGTAGGATTTCATTGTTATGATTACTTTTCATTGATCCTATTTGTATTTAAAATATTACTATTTTAGCAGGGGTATTTTCAGTATTAGAATTCATACTAGCCTGACTTATTTATGAACCTTCGCTATATTGGGAATTCATGATTTTTCTACTCTCGCTTTCTCTCGTCCTCCAGGTGGCTGGGCAGCCGCTGAGCCCCTCCTCCCAGCAGTCTCAGCAAGGGCTCAGCCCCTCTCACATGCAAGGCAGCTCCTCGGCCCCAGGCCAGGCACCCCAGCAGCAGCAGAGCTCTGTGCAGCACACGTACCTGCCCAGCACTTGGAACTCCTTTCGTGGCTACTGTAAGTGAGAGAACAGGGCCCTGGCCGGGTGGCTCTGTGGGTAGGAGTGTCTGCCTGTTCACCAAAAGGTGTCCGGCCGGCTTGATTCCCAGTGAGGGCACATACCCTGGTGGCGGGTTTGATCCCTGGTTAGGACGCCTGCGGGAGGCAACTGATTGATGTTTTTTTTTCTTCTCACATCAATGTTTCTCTCTTGCTCTCCCTCTCTCCCTCCCTTCCTCTCTCTAAAGTCATTAAAATAAAAAGAAACAAGGGGATAAAGCTACAGGTCATCGTGGGGAACCTGCAGCCATGGGCCATAATTTCATCAGCTTTATAATGGATTTTCTATATTAAAGTTTCATTGACCATTTTCTTCACTCAGCATATACTTGAATGAGTTTCATGACAGAATTCAAGGTAGCATCCTGATCAGAGAGCCACCCATTTCAGAGTCATTAGGAATATTGCTGGAATAAGTGTAGGCAGGTGATTTAAATAGTAGAATAGATGGTTGTAGGATCTGTCGATTATTGATTCATGTCTTCCACCAGTATTTATTGAATGTCTGCATATCCACCAGTGTGCTAGACCCTGGGTATATAAAAGGTTAACATTCACATCACTAGCACCACCCAATAATAATGCTAGCCAGCTTTCATTAAGCTCTTACTATGTGCCAGGAATGTTTTTAAGCCACGTATATACACATTCAGTATCCACAACCTATGAGATAAGTACAATAGTTATTTGTATTTCACAGAAAAGATAACTTAGGCATGGAGGAACTTGTCTGAGGAACATAGCTTGTAAATGGAGGTTTGAACCCAGCAATCTGGATCCAGAGTTTACACCAAACCACCCTGCTGGGCTGCCTCTCCTAAGGAGATTGTCTTTGGCTCCAAAAGATCGTTAGCTGCTTGAGAGAGAGATATGAGTAGTTGCTTTCAAAACCTTGAGATTAGTGCTACGGAAGCAGCAAAAGGCTGGCTGCTGAAGTTCAGAACAGGCGACAGTCTGGGGGATGACAGCCTTGGGTATGAGCTGGAAAGTACGGACCTCTATGACTGAAGATGTGGGAGGAACAGGACTAGAGGCCTCAGTACAGGGAACTAGGAGGGATAGGGGCTGAGAAGGTGGGAAGGCCAGTGATGATCTTCCCCTACTATTGATTTCTTTGGGGGGGGGGGGGGTGGTTCATCTCTGTTGTGTTTGATCATTGGCTATGTTATATAGATTTGGTATGGAATTAGGCTCCACCCTGTCCACTTAGTTATTTTTACAGTCCATTCTCTTAAATATTGGGGGGCACTACGAGGCCTGAGTCTAGTTTCTAGTCATGGGAAACATCAGTGGGATCCTGGTCAACAGGCTGGCATTTATACTCAGTTTAATCCCTGTGAACGAAATACGGAATGATGAAGACAGTCATGGTGATAATAGTATGAACTAGCATTCTAATGAAGAAAAAGTTTGTAGAACTGAACTTTTTTATTTTAGGGAAAAAATTTAAAAGATAGAAAAATATACTAGTAATAGTGTAATGAGTGTCCCTGTACCCATTATCTAGCTGCAGCAGTTATCAACTCATGGCCAATTTTATCTCCACTGAACACCCCCATGTCCCCTCAACATTCTCTCCCTCTCTCCCAGTTCTCCAACTAGGTAATAATCCATGTCATTTCATCCACAAATATTTTGGTATGTGTCTCTAAAACCAAAGGAATATACTTTTAAAAAACACAACTCCAGTACCGTGACTGCCCCTAAAAATAAATGACGGTAATTTTTTTGATGCCATCAGATATCCAGTCGGGGCTCATATTTCTGTGACTGTCTCAAAAATTTTAGTAGTTGGTTTGTCCAAACTGGGTTCCAAATAAGGGCCAGACATTATAATTAATTCTGTATTTTGAATTTCTTTTAATATGTGTTCTCTCTCTTTTAAGTTACAATTTATGCGTTGAAGAAGGTGGGTCATTTGACCTGTAGAATTTTTCACATTCTGACATTTCTCAACATCCCACATGGATTTTGCTGTTGACATCCCTGTATGATCATTTAAGATGCCTGCGTCTGGCCCTTTTATTCCCTGTAGGCTGGCAATTAGATCTAGAGGCCCTGTTGGAATCAGGTTCAGTTTTGTCCCCGACACTTCATAGCTGGCCGTGTGTGTCCATCAGGAGGCACACAGTGTCTGCTGTCTCACTTTCCCTTTGGCCCACTATTTCATTAGGGATGGCAAAGTGGTCCTAGGCTGATTCTGTCATTTTTATACACGAACTAGAGGCCTGGTGCATGAAATTCGTGCACAGGTAGGGTCCCTAGGCCTGGGTTAGCAATCAGGGCTGATCTGTGGGGCAACTGGTGGGACGATCAGGGAGCCCCCGCTGACACCTCCCTCGGCTGACCTGGGGCCTGCGGGCTGGGGGCATCTCCTGCATTGAGCATCTGCCCCCTGGTGGTCAGTGTGCATCATAGCGACCAGTCGTTCCTCCAGTCATTCTGCCATGCGGTCGGTTTGCATATTAAGCTTTTATTATATAGGATTAGCTAGGAAACTTCAATGAAGAAAACAATTTTACCTTAATGAGCAGGTTACTCGGAGGTACAGTTTGTGCAGTAATGGCAGGATAAATGCTTGAAATACCTGGCTCATCGCCTTTACTTGCCAATTTTCAAATTCATGCGTTGTTTCCTAGTATTACCCAGTAGACCAATGAGGGCTATGTGTGTGTTAGTGCTGTCATGTGCTCATGGATTTCAACACAGCTGACGTGTTCCAGATCACTGCAGCGGTTATCCTTATGCTCAGATTACCCATCTTTAGCTACTGGGAGCATCTTTTTTTTTTTTTTTAATATACTTTTGATTTCAGAGAGGAAGGGACAGGGAGAGAGAGAAACACCAATGATGAGGGAGAATCATGGATCAGCTGCTTACTGCATGCCCCACACTGGGGGGTGGAGCCCGAAACCTGGGCATGTGCCCTGACCAGGAATCGAACCATGACCTCCTGGTTCATAGGTTGATGCTCAATCCCTGAGCCATGCTGACTGGGAGTGTCTTTGGATTGGCTCCTGTATCTTTTCTACACAATCCTGTAGTCTCTTGTAGTATCTTGCGTGCTGATGTGACACCATGTTCTAGGTTCCCCAAATCTGGAACCAGCCATTTTCCCAAGAAGCTCTGGTCCCTTTTAGTAGAAAATATTACTCAGAGACTCAACTGGGTGCTAGGGTGAACTTTGGTGAAATAAAACTCAAGTTTGGTTGATTCGTGATTACTGGGCAATAATGGATACGTTATGCTACTCATTCAGATGTGACTATAAGAGATAAAAATATTAAGGTAACAGGTAAGTTTTTGTGTCTGATTTTAGGGTTTTAAAAAGCTGTTGTGTATTTGTCTTTATGGATATTCAGAAGCCACAGTTGAGGGAGGTGCATTGATCGCCTGCAATATTTGGTAACTGTCTAACCTTCATGTGGGCAGTTCGTGCCAGAGGTGCTTTTACTATATCAAAAAATCACGTCATCATAAGTCTCTCTCAGCAAGCAAATCCATGGCAGTGTCTCGGTGGGGAAGGTGGTCACGTGTTAGGGTTTTTGTCTACACCTTGTATTAAAATCTGAGACCACTGGAATATGCATATTTCCTGTTTTTCAGCATCCGAGATTCAGATGATGACGCTTCCCCCAGGACAGTTTGTGATTACCGATAGCGGGGTGGCAACTCCAGTCACAACTGGCCAAGTGAAGGCGGTGACTCCGGTAAGCTGTGTGCTCGAGAGGGGTTTCCTGTCCACCCTACTGCACCCGACTCCCCTCCCCTGCCTTCTACTCCCCAACCTGCAATGTCTGAGTTAGAAGTACCCCTCTTGTGCTCCCCTTACAACTTGTGGAGCTGTATTCTAACCCTGTCACAGTTTATTTTCATTATCGGTTTACTGTCTATCTTTTCTCAGTAGGTGATGAATTCCTTGAAAGCCGGGTCTTGGTCATTACCTCTTTATTCTCAGTGCCTTGCACAGGAGGCTGGGCTATAGTAAATGATCAATAAATATCTATCCTATGTGTAATTATAATGAACCTCCTAGATCCATATACATATGGATTCATAATTCATCACCTTTTTATGTGCTCCTTGGAATGTATATGAGCTGTCATTACTGTTGGTTATCACTTTGGGTTGGGAGAGAATGGCATAATGAATCTATTATAGAGCTCTTTCAAACTATTTTAAACAATTCAGCCATCTCAGGGTGAAAAACATTACCATAAATTATCTTGCTATATTTAGATTGGGCAGGTCAACATTGATTGTATCTGCTACCTCTGTTTTTATCTTCACTGGTTTATTCTGGCCTGCCTCTAAGTTATTAGAAAACAGAGTATGTAAATTTAAATTAAGGAAAATACTCTTTAAGTGGATACGAATAACAAGATGTTCCAGGGGAAGACTGATTCCCAAGAGGCCTCAAAGCGTAGCAGGAGAGTCTAGTGGCCTCAAAAACCTGATTTTTTTTTTTCAAAGCATACTGAGAGCACACTCATTTTTTAGCATCCAAACTCACATTACCCAGACTGAGGAGAGATGTGTAATCCAGAGTAACACTATTGTCAACGAAAACAATAACTAATGTAAAATGGTAATGATCAATGAAATTTCTGCTTCCTGTGACTCTACCATTTTTTACCCAGGAACTTATTTGGGAATCAGATTATAGCCAAGGATGCCCCCTCCCTCACCACAATATACATACACACAAATTTAATGTATATTTTGGGGGGTTCATAAATTCTCGGAAGTCCACTTATGTACCCTAGGTTGAGAACCAGATCCATATGGGAAACCAAATCATAATCATAGTTGTGTGATGAGCGTAGACTCAGAGCATATGGCCGTAGATCAGGGGTGGGCAAACTTTTTGACTCGAGGGCCACAATGGGTTCTTAAACTGGCCGGAACAAAAGCATGGATGGAGTGTTTGTGTGAACTAATATAAATTCAAAGTAAACATCATTACATAAAAGGGTATGATCTTTTTTGTTTGTTTTTAGTTTTATTCATTTCAAACGGGCCGGATCCGGCCAGTGGGCTGTAGTTTGCCCACGGCTGCCCTACATCAATCAAATGGGTATTTGGCTATGGCTTTTTTTTTTTTTGAGCATTGCTTGAAAAGGCCAATGCTTGAGTTTTCAAACTGTGCCTTTTTTATTTTTTTATTTTTATTGATTTTCAGAGAGGAAGGGTGAGGGATAGAGAGATAGAAACATCGATGGGAGAGAAACATCGATCAACTGCCTCCTATATGCCCCACACTGGGGATTGGGCCCACAACCCAAGCATGTGCCCTGACCGGGAATTAAACAGATGACCTCCTGGGTCATAGGTAGATGCTCAACCACTGAGCAACACTGGCTTTGCTCTGTGACTTCCTTTTTTCTCAGCCTAGTAGCTAGCTAATCCCCCTTCTGTCCGCATTTTTTCTTAAAAATGTTAACGTGAGGATATAGCTAGCTGCAGTCTATGAGGGAGATTTCATTATTAGGAAAATGAGGAAATAGAGAGACAGTGTATATTTTCATGAAGATAATGTATTCAATGTAAGGACTTTATTCTAAGACTGTGCTCTTCCTATGCTTTTGAGGGTTAAAGCGTCTTTCGTTGGACAGCGGCATTTCAAAAATGGCTTTGCTTGGCAAGATAACATTTGGAAACATTTATTATTACTTTTAATTTTGCCGGCGTTTGAAATTCTGAAGTCTGGGAACAGTTGATCTTAACTACCTGTCTTGGGGGCTGTTCTGCCTCTTTAATGAGACTTTAGATCAAGCATGTCAAACTCGCGGCCCGAGGGCCACATGCCTCGTTTGTTTGGCCTGTGTAAGCCTTTGAGTTTGACATGCTTGCTTTAGATGATAATTTTTCTTTGATCAATTTTATATTAATCTTAAAATTTAATTGACATATAGCAATCTTACTTTAGAAATCCAAATTCTTAAGAGTAGTACAAGGGCAAATGTTTTGTTTGCCATGTAGGTTACCATTGTGATGCCAAGTTCTGTCTCTCACTGTATCTTTTGGTAGAATAACTAAGGACCCCTCCTAAGTCACCTTTGTCGTCAGTTACTGTGCCTGACCCATTCTCTCCAAAACACTTTGGTAGGGCACCTCCCCTATGTGCCTATTTTAGTTCCCCTTATAACATTTCTTTACAGATTCCTCCCTTTTTCTGTCCCCAGGACCCCCTGCCCCCATTAGGCCTCAGATTTCTAAAGATCCTTTCTTCCTGCTCTAGGGTCATTATGTGTTATCAGAAAGTCAACCGGAGCTGGAGGAAAAGCAAGCCTCTGCCCTCTCTGGGGGAGTCCAGGTTCAGCCAACTCCGCACAGTGACTTGGACCCCCAGGCCACCAGCCAACAGCAGCCCACACAGTACATCATTACCACCACCACCAACGGGAACGGGAGCAGGGAAGTGCATATCACGAAACCTTAACTGCCGTGCCACCCTTGAGCTAGAACCCACAGTCACATCATGTCTTTTCTCATTCATAAATCGGAAAGCTTCTGACACAACTCTTTTTTACAATTTGTCATTCACTCAAGAGTTTGGAGGTTACAGTTTGGACACTCGTACAATTGACTGGGGTTTTATTTTATCAAGGCCACCTTTACCAAATTGACTCTTGGGACCCTAGGAGTTGCTGTTGTGGAATGGAGATCTTTCAGTGGCAAGTAGAGTTCAAGATGGAGACATTTTACCTTGTTTGTGGGTTGTTTTTTTAATACATTGATAAGCCTTACTTTTCCTTTGTGGAACTATTAAGTGGCGTATTGTGTTTGTACCAAAGGTGGAGAAAGGGTGTGACAAGTCCATGGCCATGGACTTCATTCCAAGCCGTGGCACCAAAGGAGAAGGGGCATTTTATGGGTCGATGTTAGGTGAGAACTGCTTCATCTTTTGAGTTGGGAGGAACTTAACCAAGGGGCCTATTGACTCTGAAAATAACAATGATGAAACAAAGGGTGACAGTGATGTTCTCAAGGGAAAACTGTCGCCTAAATTTTTTTTATTGCTGATTGAAAAAACAATAACTTGCCTTTTTAGGAAAAATCATTGTTGGGCGGTTGGTAGTACTTCCCAGAGATACTGCCCTCAGCACATAAGGCCAAGAGACCATGTTCTGCTGGATCTTACTTTATTAGTCCACAACAGTGGACTCCCTGTAAGAAAAAGGTTGCCTGATGTCAGCAGAATGTAAACTTCTGCATTAAAGCATTGCCACCATTCTCTGATGCGGTTGTAATAAGGAGATACTAGAGATAGCTGTACCAAGTAAAATGACGGAGACGGTATACATGTATATAAAGTGAGAAGCACTGAAACCTTGTCCTGCCTTGCAGGATCCATACCATTCATTGGTAAAGGCTGAATTCCTTTCTCTTACCAGGTGTATATTTGGCCCTCGCCCACAGCATTCAGTGTATTTTAGAATTTTTAATGCTTTCTTAAAATGAACATTCTGTAAGGTTGGATGGAAAGATGGCCCTCCTTATTTCTTACCACTCTTACCTAAAACATACTATAACTCATCTGGACCCTTGGGTATGACCAGCTTCACACTTAGGAGTAAAATAAGAACGTGGAGACCATTTATAATACATTAAGGCAGTGATTTTCAACCTTTTTCACCTCACGGCACACATAAACTAGTCACTAAAATTCTGTGGCACACCAAAAACTATATTTTTTGCCAATCTGACAAAAAAAAGTATAATTTTTATTTACCAAAAAAATAATAATAATAATAATTACCTACCTTTTTGCTTGTATATAAAGATTTCTGGTACCAAGAACTAACCAATCAGATGAAACCTTATTATGCAATGCGACCAATAAGGTGCAACTAATTATTACATGATCTATATATAGGGTGTCCCCCCAAAATGTATACACCTACTTTGGATTATTATAAAGGCAATGTTTATTATAATACATCTCCCTTGCAAAATTGAGCTATCAGCTATTCAAATGTGTATACATTTTTTTGGGACACTGTATTTATGGTTCAAGACAGAGCCTTCATACCAGACGGCTATTGTTGTATTGGCTGTTGTCATTTTTTTTTTATTTGACAATCTGAGAAGAAGCCAGTGCCCCTGACTAAATAGTCAGGTATTGAATGTTTTAAAAATTCTTCTTGCAGCACACTGGTTGAAAATCACTGCATTAAGGATCTGGAAGAAATCCGATCTTTATGACTATTACACTATCAGTAGGGAAAGGGAAAAAAAATCTGCCTCAGTGATAGTTTTGCTTATATGCATTCCTCTTTGTTAGCTATGAATTCAGCGGGGGGAAACATTTCCCTCCTTTTTACTATACATTCCAATTGCACACAGAAAACACTGCAGAGATCAGTATGTATTTTAACAACTTTTTGTGAATAATTTTTAGAATAATTACTGCTAGTAGAATTTCTCACTGCAGAACAGAAAGACCTGACTTAAATTTCAAATGAAGTTCATTTATTTTATTTACATTTCTGGGTAAAAACTGGTTCTATCAATTACGTATAGTAGCTTCTTTATAGTAAAGATAACTTTTCTGAAAAGTAAACGATTCTATTGAAATAACTTTACTAATATGTAGATTTTTGCACTTTATTTCTGAGACCTCATTTATTGAGTTACCCCTGAAAATTTGGGCACTAAGAAAACTTGAGAAAGTTACTTGGGAAATGTGTAGAAACTGAACATGGACTCTATCTTTGGTAACAAAGAGGTAATGTCAATATTTTTAATAGAAAATATTGACCCTGAATGACGAAGTAGAGACTCTGGGTCCCAGTCCCACATTGTAATGATTGCGCATATCCTAAGACCCAGTCTAGAATGACGTGCTAGGTGAAGAATACTACACTTTCCCAATGGCCCAATTTAGTTTTAATACCTTCAATTTGGCACTCTTGGGTCCTTTTTAATTTGAATTAGCAAGGTACCTCCCCCCTCCTCACCTCAGGAGTAACATTGATTAACATAGAAAACTATCACTAAATGGAATGTTCATTTTATACCAGTTATTTCAAGTTTTAAAATACACAGAAGGAAATGTGGAAGGACCTCTTTGTCTATTTCCTATCTAAGTTTGTTTGTTTTTTCTTTCTTTCTTTTGTTCTTATGTGGAATAAATAAGTACATCTCTAAAACTAATTTGTGTATTATCCACCGGAGATGCAGGTGGCAGTTAAGCCAAATAACACTGCTTTAAGATCAGGTATTCCGCACATCCATCCAAGGTAATAAATTTTCAAAAGGACTTGGATTTGAAGAGATGGCAGAGTATAAGTCATCTGAAAACCCAATTTTGGGGGAAAATGTTTGTAGCCAATGTTTATATTGTTCTGTTTCTTACGACACATTGGCACTGTAGACTTCAATCAGTGCAGTGTAAATTTTGGAGTAACATAGATTTTACATTTTTATTGCTTGATTTGTGCCCACATCGTAGACATTTTATCATGTAAAATTCCTGTTATCCAGGAAAAAATCTATTATTTTGATTCTTGAATTGTTTTTTTTTTTTATTTCCAATTATCCTATCAAAAAACTCTTAGGGCTAAGAAGCACTTGATGTGATGCTAAAGCCGACCCCCCGGGTTGAAAATGTTGACCCTATCCTGTTATTTAAATGTGAACATTTATTGTACATTCAGTGAGTTATAGTGTTAATAGTCTTGTGCTACTCAGCAGGTGTAAAAATTAATAAATATTTTTTTAAATAAACATCTTCCTTGTTTGTATGTGTGAAGCTTCAAGAGCTACTGAGACTGTTAAATTTTTTTTCTACTACTACAACTTACAGTGTTTTGACTCTTTGATTCACTGTGGTCTGGTCAGACTCCCTGTGAGAGAATTTGTGGATGACGACTGTGGAATGATGTTCTTCTGTTGATTCACTTGGTGGTTTCTAATTGAAGAACCTACCAACTTTCTAACAGGAACTAAGGGCAGGCTTGCAGCCAGCAAAGGAGCTGAGAGGAGGCTTTTTTTTTTTAAACTTCTACTTTCCAAAAAGGGAGGGATATTTTTGGGGGCCCTCCAGCTTCTCTGACATGGTTGTATCTGAGCAAGAGAACTGAGGCCCGGCGGTGTGACTCAGTAGCTGAGCGTGGACCTAGGAACCAGGAGGTCACCATTGGATTCCCTGTCAGGGCACATGCGGGGGTTGTGGGCTACACCTCCGGCGGGGGGCGTGCAGGTGGCAGCGGATGGATGACTCTCTCATCATTGGTGTTTCTATCTTTCTCTCCCTCTCGCTTCCTCTCTGAAATCAATAAACATATTTTTAAAAACTTCATATAAAATAGAGAACTGAAGATGATCTATCTCTGCACGTCTGACGGGAGTAGCTGTGGAGTCTGAAGCTATTTTAAGAGCCAGTGAGTAAGAAGAAAGAGACATAGATTCTTAACAAGAGGAACGTTATCCAGTTTAACTTAAAATGTATTTCTTCAGCGTGTATACTTTTTCCGACATCCAGGGTCCTGGTCGGGAGGGAGAAATGGGAACACACGGGGGTGGGGGGCGGGGAATAGGCTCCAGTCGCCTTTCTCCTCAATGAAACTCGAGAAACCGCTGTTTTTTCAAAATGGGAATAGTGCATAGCACTAAAAATGCAGCTGTAGCACAAAGATAGTGGATAGAAAATGCTTAGCATAGTGCCTGGAGCAAGGTATGCTCTCTGCAAACCTTACCTAATAAAACTGCATTCAGTGACTCGGGTTTTGGGGCCTCAATTCGCGGCCAGGTAAAAACTACCGACACCGCCTCCGCCCTCCAGAAACTTCTAAACCAGGTGCGACCTTCAAGCTGATTGCAAATTGCATCCTGAGACACAGCGGAGAGAGCGCCTGCCACTCCAGGCCCCGCCCCGCCCCAGGTCCGGCCCCGCCCCTCCCCGCCCCAGTTCCGGCCCCGCCCCAGGTCCCGCTCCGCTTCTCTACCGCCCTGGCCCCGCCCAGAGACACGCCTCCGCAGGCTCCGCCTCACGCAGCCCCGCCCCGACGCCCAAGGCCCCGCCCCTCTAAGACCCGCCCCCGGGATCCAAGGCCCCGCCCCTTCCGCCGCCCGAGTCCAGAGCGTGCACGCATAGAGACGCCTTGCGAGGGCGAGCGCGTCCTGGAGCCCGCGGGCCGAGGATCGCAGCGGGCGACGAGGCCCGCGCTTACGGCCGAGGTGAGGGCGGGCCCCAGGTGGCGACAGGGTTAAGTCGTTGCGGGGGAGCGGAGGGAGGGAGGTGCTGGGGTCTCCGAGGATCGCTGCTCCGGTGGGCATGTGGCGGGGAGCGGGCCTGTGGGAGCTAGCGGCCCGGGTGGGAGGGGGTTAGGGTTGGGGCGGAGGGGCCTGGGCGCCGAGGTGCAGATTGGAAGGGCGGGACCTGGGCCTCGGGCTGGGGCGGGGTTGGCTAGGGGAGGCTTTGCAGGGGGGACGAGGGATCTGGAGCCAGGGGTGGCCCCGGAAGGAGCCTAAGGTTTAGCTTGTTTGGGGGGGGGGGAAGGGGGGGGTCGGTTAGCCCTGGTGCAGGGGAAAGGCCATTGGGAGAGGCCTTCCTGGTCTAGTAAAGAGGTCCAGACGCCGCAAGACTTAGAAATCCTCGGCTTCCGGGGTGCCAGCCCCTGGCAGCTGCCTGCTTTTTGTATTTGGAGAGCCTATTTAGAATGGCAGCAGGGCAAAGGTTGCCCCTGCGTAAGATTCAATGCAGCTCCACGTCCACCGAATTGCAGACACTTGTGCGCAAGTTGGGAAACAGGTGATCCCCCTAAGAGTCAGGTGGGACGCTGGCTTTGCAGCTCTTACCAGCTGCATGTCCGTGCTTTTAAATGAGGACTTGATCCTCAGCATCAGGTTGCTGCTACATTTTTTTTTTCTATTTCAAAGGTTTGTTAAACACATATGTCTTGTGCTTGCTCACCTGCTTCAGTCATTTAGCGCAGGGGATGTTCAGGGTATTGTAATGCACCATGGCTGGCGGGGTACACAGCTGATTGGTTCCACACTAACCCATCCGCTGGGTCTCAGATAAATCTGAAACCTCTTCAAGATAACTGGAAATCATTTAGTGGGGAGGTGCTCGTTTTAATAGTAAATTTACAGGTTTGCCGTTTTATCGTTTGAGAATTTCAGAATGAGAAGTCATTGCATTACTACGTTACGTGACTGCGTTAGGTCACGGAAACTCATCCATCTAGAGATTATTCATTGCAGGAATCCAGGATTGGTCCAACTACCCTTCGTCAATTGACACCTGGTGAGGTAAGATTTGTCCAGAGTCACTGAGATTAGAAGTTTGGTGTTTTGGTTTGTAGTCTGTTGTTTTTGTTTTTTTTTCTTTTTTCTTTCCATTTTACTGTGCTTGTTATTGCTAGCCCGTTTGGTAGGAATAGGAAATAGAGCATGGACTTAGCCAGTGTTCTTCCAGTGATGGAGTTCAAGCTCCTTGTTCCTGAGAGCTTTTTTCAGTCCTGTGGCCATCGCTTTACATGGATTCTAGCCCTCAGCCTTGTGAAATGTTTTAATATGTACTTTTCTAAAGGTGGCCAGCTGTGTTCAGTTATTACAGGAAGGAGAAAAATGGCATTGCATTTACGTGGTTATAAAAATCGGATGGACCGACTGAAGGTGGGTTGGCCTCCACATTACAGGTGGTCACGGTCAGGGTCTTGGAGCCTCTGGAGTTTATTTGGATGAATAAAGCCATCATAAAATGCTCCCTTTTCATGATTTAAATTGGAGGTTTAGATAGGGTGTATTGTGTGTTGTGTTAAGAAATGGCTGTGCAGCCAGGCAGACCTGAGCTTCAGTCCTATCCCTGGGGTTAGGCGAGTTACTTATCTACTTTGTCCTTGTTTTACTGTCTGTAGAATAGATGTAATAACCCCGTCTTTCACAGTTGTAAGAATTAAATGAGATATATGAAAAGCCCTGGCAGCTGGTAGGCCCTCATTAAATAACGTATTGTTAGTGTCTGAGCTTTATTAGTTAGTC